ATGCTGAAGTTTCCGATAGGACATACTGAGGCGATGAACGTTCTTGCCATGAGGCTTATTTTTTCTTATAAGGAATTTTTATAGAAATTCATATTGTAAACAATCCTACGCTATCAATTATATTGCAGGATTATCATGTAAACTACGGTGTTAGACATGGATTCCAGCCCTCAGGAAAGCCGTAACAACACGCGGGAAAAAATACGAATTATTTTCACGTGTGTTTGATATCGCCGATCAGCTGCTGACACGTCAGTCCCCTTTCGCGCCACTTCGTCTGGTTGATGAATAAACGGCAAAGCCTTCACCATTCCCAATCCAAGGCCGTTTGTCAAAATTTTTTCAATTTATGGCTGCTAAACACTAAAAAATCCTTACCGCTAACAGACAGTGACGTTCAAACTTTGCTAGGAGAGGAAGAAAACCAAAATACGAAAAGAAAAGCCGAAACCTACATATTCAGTGCCTTTGGTAATGGAATTTTTCACGGCTGAGAACGAAAATCGAGCACTAGAAGATTTACCCTAGGCCGATTTTGGCATGTACCTGAAATATTTCTTCCGTCGGTAAGGACCAATTCAATAGCTGAAAATTTTATATATTGAAAATTAGGCCCATTGTTTGCCTTTGTAATAATTCCACACAATTTTCATCTTGAGTGCGCCAACACACTTTACGATTTTTATTCGGGGATAGTCGATCCTTTTGTTGTCATTTATTAATGAAGTCAACTTTTCTTGTCAGTGAAGGACTATTGTGTTGATATGACAAACAAAATAATACATAGTTGCTTGTAAATATGAAATTTTTCTTCTCGTTTTTAAACAGACATCTCATTCGTTCTCTGCGCTTACTCGTGAGCTATCGAGTTAAATACTCGAAGAGAAATTCCATATCTAGCGCGCCCAGGTATTATTTCACCATTTATTGTGCAGCTGGAGTTTTTTTTTAGGTAGCAATGTAAACATGAACTTTCTCACCACAAGGATTCCTTTTTTTTGATATGATTAATTTATGACTTTGTCACCGTTTTGAAGACTTATAATTTTCTAAGGGCCGAAATGTCAACACTGTCTTACTTTTTGTGTTTGTTTTTTAACCGAGAGGTGGCAGTAGAATGGCCTCCTGTGCTCCTACAATCAATTCTAGACTGGGGAATTTTGTTCAGCCTAAAGTAAAATGCCTAGATTATGAGAACGGGGAGTAGGACCCTGTATTTACTTCATCCGTGGTAGATAATTTCGTAGTCGACTCATTGGTATCGTTCGCTATTCCTTCGTTTCACTGCCCTCAGTGAAAAAATCCAAAATAAAGTTCATCAATTTTTTCATAAATAAAAATTGATTTTTAAATTAATTTTTTTTTCTAAATTATTTCACACAATATTTTTAAAACCGAACTAGTGAGCAGCACTTTGCGAACAGTAGTTGTAAAACTTCTTTATTCTCTGACGCATTTTGTCTAGTGTCGTAGACTTCGTCAGGGAGTTTTACAAGTTAAAACTAAATGCCTGTATTTATAAGCCACAGCTAGCGGCTATACGGAGGCCAGTGACCATAAAAGCTTTGCCGGACATACGAACAGGAACAGGCGAAGTTGTGAGAAATTTGAAAATTTTGTGGGCCAGGTGAGAAAAATATTTTGGGAGCCACAGTTTTAGCTAAAACCGTGGCCCCCACAATATTTTTCTCACCTTGCCCACATAATAAGTGAAATACTTATGATTATGAGAAAGGGGAGTATGACCCTGTATTAACTTCATCCATGATAGATAATTTCGTAGTCGACTTGTCAGTATCGTTTGCTATTTCTTCGCCTCGCTGAGCTCAGTGAAAAAACCAATAATAGAGTTAATCAGGTTGTTCGTCGCAAAAGATTAAAAATTAATGAGACACTCTACCTTATCTCGCAAAAATATCCTGTCAGGCAAACGGTTGTACTTAGGTATTATTTCTTTATCTCCTGTAGAGAAAGTTAATTAATGGTAATGACCTGCAATTCATTAAAATGGCAAAACAGACTGAACAAGGCTTCTGTGGATACTCCTTTGAGACAGTGAAATACCTAGAGTGCGTTTAGTTGTTGTTCGACCGGCTGATTTTGATTTTGATTTGGACTTATGAATTTTCATTAAGCTATCATCTTTGGGGCCTTTTTTGACGAGGAAGCTGGTGGCTGTTAGAGTAGTTCATCCGGCTACATTTTAAAATAAATTGCAAGCAGAATTTAAAGAGCCAGTGTGAAAAAGGTATCAATGTTTTGTCTATATGTTTCAATGTATTGATCCAAGTGAAATTTCGATTTTAAGATGGATCACGTAACGACACTTCGTCAAGTTAAAGTGAACCAAAATGTGGATTTAAAAATGGTTTTAGGGAAAAATATTGAAATAGAAAAGGTGAACAAAGAAGGAAATAAAATGAAAATGAAAAATGAAAAATGAAAAATAGACAAATGTATAAAGTGGCGGTCCTTGAACTGAAGAAACGTACATTCCACTAAAATTTACGTTTTTTTCTTTTTTTTCTTTCTTTCTAAAATGAATCGAAATCAATGTCAAAGGTTTACTGAATTGTAGCGATGGTGGGACGGAAATCACGGCTGCTGAACGATTACGGGATGATACAAGATAGATCTTAATCAGCTTGGATTTTTTTTTTTTGGTTTTTGTTTTTGTTTGTTTCATTATAAAGCTTTAAATATATTCATTGAAGGTGAACATTTTGTTTCCAACAATTTGCTAATAAGACACACTTTTTAAAGTCGTTTCTAGGATAAATAGTATTCATTGATTGTAATACGGGATTGTAGTAATTAAGTTTAATTGCTAATTGGATTGAACCCGTAGCATTCCTTTATCACGCACATTGATGTCACAAATAAATTAAATATTCTTTGAAAACGTTTATCCTTCGTTTAGGAAAGGTATTCATCCGGAGACCTTGCAGTACAGATATCAAAGCGGGATTCTTACGACTTTGAAATGTAAGTAAGCTACGACTTTGGCCAGTTTTGGCTCGTTAAACCATTAACCTATTTTTTTTTACATCTATATTTCCTTCAGTCTATCGCTCTATTCTGAATACTGTAACAATTAAGTTAGCTTAAGTCTGACTAAACTGCGATATAAGTTAGTACTTGAAAGTGTTGGTTAATTAGAAATTGGTGTCTTTTATGGCAATTATCAACTATTTAGAGATATTTTCATTCAGCTACATTGAAATCCAGTTTGCGAATCAACAAAATTTACAAAAGTAAAGAGCACTGTTTTGAAGTTGAAAGATAAAATCTTTACTGGAGGCGGAAATCAGACAGGTAGAACGAACGTAAACAACTCACCAAACGCCTTAGTTATCAAATATTAATTGTCCCATGCCATACTAATGACAAACCATATTAATAACGTTGGGAAGGCTTTCTTAAGTAAGCTATGACTTTGGCTAGCTTTGGGTTGGTTTAGCCATAATACTTTTTTTTTCTCAATTTCTTTGTGTATCGTTTTATCCTAAGTAATTCTAAATACTATAACAATGGAATTTGACTAACTACGATCTAAGTTAGTAAAATTTTGGTTGATTAAGAATTGGTTATTTTAGTTCAACTATCGACTACTAAGAAATATTTTCATTCGGCTACGCTGAAATCCAGTACACGAATTTACAATATTCTCAAAAGGTAGTTGAGTAACAAAATCTGCACTGGAGGCGGAAATCAGACAGGTAAAACGAATGTAAACATTTCACCAAACACCTTAGGTATCAAACATTAATTATCTCATGCCCTAATAATGAAAAAACCATATGAATAATATTGGGAAAGTTTTTCTGATATGGTTTCTGATACGTGTAGATAGTGCTATCTTTTTCAAGGATTCCTTACAACTTTTTCACTTAAAAGTGTGTAGACAATTTTATGGCGAGGATATACCGTGATTACTCCGCAGGGTGAAAGGTTAATTAAGGGGAGGAAAATTTCCTGTTGTGCTATCCATTTGAAATGATACTCCTGAGGTGTGACCAACGGCAGAACAAATTGGCTTCGCAGTTTCGTAGCAAATCATGAAAAGAGCCGGCCGGTAACTCAGGGTTAAGCAAACAGTTCTAAGACAAAATAAATTGCTTGCCCTATACGGGCTCGTGCAATTTGTTTTCTTTGAAAAATTTACTCGTGCTTATTTACTCCAAATTGCACTCGAAGCCATGTTATGACCTATAGTTATGGCAGATATGATCAGGTAAATTTGTCGAGACATAATCAAAGTCCTCCAAACTCCTCCCCGGCCATAAATAATGACTGGACCGTGGCAATAAAAAAACAATCTGTTTAACAACAGATTCACGATAGGAGAATGTGTTCTCTGATCAAATTCGTTGTCAGCCTACTAAAAGTATTGGTAAACTAGCAGCACACTATTTTCTCAGTAAGACAAGGTATCGACTGATCTAAGTTGTGATAGAGAGTCATGAACAAAAGAAATATGTTGATCAACTAGCTTTTATATAAGACACGCCCAATAGCCTAATAATAGGAGCCCTATTCTCCAGGTCGAGACCAACCGGTTCATTGTGCTTGGGTAAAACACTTTACCTTTTGCAGTGCCTCCCTCCACGTAGGAGTATAAATGGGTCGCGACCAATTGTCAGGGATGCCGAATTAAATGCGGGAAGGTAATCTTGCGATGAATTTGCATCCCGTTCAGGGAAGCGTGGATAGACTCTTAGTCGCTTCATGCTACGTGGAAACCGGGATACGCTCGGGCTGGATAGGCCACTTGGCTTGGGTACAGACTTATTCTTTTACCAACTAGCTTCTGTACTTTGGCTGAACGCTTCCAAACTTAGTATATTCTTTATTTCAAAATTCAGAATACCACCGAATAACGAAATAATTAAAATGTTACACCATAAACTTTACCCATCAACTACAAGCTTATTCGCAAAGTTGAAAGAAAGGAAGAAGCTAAAATCTTGTCACCAGCGAGGAAAAGAAAATAATATCCTGAGGCTTTTCTCCGCAGGTTTCTATTTGTTTTTTTCTCAACTGTTGGAATATCTACAAACGTCGCCATGGGTTCTTGCAGTATTGGTCAGTGTTCCACTAGCTTTTCCTTTATCATTGGGAAGAACATGGTGGATGGAAATGCCCTGATTGGTTACGTGTTTGCAAATGTTTCCGTGGCAGGAGTGATGGATTGTTACAAAGCATGCCGACCAAACTGTCGGTGCATCTCGTTCAACTTCTTGACAAATACCAACCAGGACAACTGTCAACTGAATGAAGAAAACAGACATCTGAAGCCTGATGCGTTGAAACCAATGGGTGGTTGGATGTACTACGACATGGTTATTGAATATAGGGTTGGTTAAAAATGATTCAACAATATTTTCCCTTGCTGTGTAAAGAGGTATTTAACGCCATTCATACTTAGACCCCGATATATTTTTAACAAGAAACAAGGATTTTTATGTGTAGAAAACCGATTAAAATAACCTTCAAAATTGCGGAAGAAAAAGAAGCAAAAACATAGTGAGAGCAAAAATGGGAAAGCAAGGGGCGTAGTGGGGGAGGTGGTGGTGGTGAGATGAATTTGGTTTTGTCAAACTGAAATTAACCTGATTCCTCTTGCGGGGTCTGTAGTATTCTAATGACCCAGTCCCCCTCCATAGGTTCTCAATATACCATAGTCCCCCCCTCAAACTCAGTTTGAGACGGTTCATCCCCCTTCTATGTCCTACCGGAACACAATCTAGTTTCCCCCCAAAAAAAAAATCCTCTGAGCCCCCTCCCCCAGGCGACGAATAATTACAAGTCCCTAGATTTCCATTTCAGAGGGATATTAGAAACTTTTCTGTCATTGTTGTATAGGCTTGTGCCTCGTGTTACAACAAATGCTGCAAAGATCAGCCGTGTCTGAATGGAGGAACGTGTCGGGAAAACTGTCAGGAGACTGGAAAACGATTCATCTGTGATTGTCCTGTCAAATATACTGGCCAGTTGTGTGAAAGTGGTATGAATGCACTTATTTATAGTTTTAGAGATCTTCTAAGGAGTGACTATTGAACTTCAACTAGGCAGTCCTTGGGGAGCCATAATGATTTATTACTCTCACCTGATTAACAAAGAAATTCTTTTTTTAGTTAGAGGGTGCCAAGTAAGTGTTCTCTCAATTAGGTCAAGTTAAAAGAAAATTTCTGGCTTCTGTAAGAGAGAATTCTTAAAAGTCTCAGTTCTAATGAACCCTTTTCGAATGAGCCTATCTTTTTTATTTATAAGATAATTTTCTAACTGGTTATGAACCCTAAAGACCCTGACCGAAGTATAGGTTTCAGTCTGTGATGAATACTCCCCTAATTGACTTTTATACATTTCGTTGTGCAAATGTTTTATCATAGATAACCTTCTATCGCCAAAAGCCTTTTTGTCATTATTACCCGTTGTCTGGACAGTGCATTTATATATATAATTACCGATCCCAGTAAAATCCTATTGTGCGCCCTTATCAGGGGCACTTCTAAACGGGCTAGAAATAATAAAAGTAATAATAATAATAATAATAATAATAATAGTACATCCAATATCCAGCAGTGTAGAAACCAATCCCCCTACTAGCCCCAGTCCGCGCGGCTATCCATATAAGTTTGACTTTCGCGCGAATCATGCAAATATAACGGTGTTAGCTCGAGTAGAAGGTCACTGCAAGTACTTTCTTATGCAGCCGTATTTCAAAATCGTCAAGTAAATTGCTCTATTATCGAGTATCCCGTGTTCCTTATGTTATTAGTATTGCCTATGTTATACGTATTTCTTGTTATTTCCAATCTTGTAATTAGTCGTTCCGTTCTTGATTTACTATGTTCGTAATACTTTATTTAGAAACCACTGGCAATGGCGTGTAACTAGAAAATTTCGACCATGTCATCAAGAATTAAATTCCTCTCAAATTTATTGCTGGTGCGTTGGTCACAAGCAGTATTTTTAATATTGCAGCCGCGAACGCTTTCGATTTTATTGTTTTATTGCTTTATTTATTACAATTACACATCTTACAGCAGCAAAATTTCTTTCTTATATGAAATAACAATTTTAGTAATATTGGTTCTAACTTCGGCTGACTGATTCTAGTGCTCTACATTGTTCTTTTCCTCAAAAGCTTACGCGTTTACTCTCATTTTTTTCTCTTCATTGTGTTTAACATGATTCTCAAACAACTCTTTGTCTTTTCCCTCGACATCCTTTTCAACAATTGACCTGTGACCTGTGGTTTCTACATTAACTTGTTCTGGTACACCGCTTTGGTGCAACCGCGTGGCGGAACTTCGCCTGTGAGAGTGGTTTGTGAAATTCCCCTCAAATCCTGCCTCCGTCGTGATTTCCTTACTACATTTCCTAACCTTTCTCTTCGCTTTGGGTTAATGTAATGCCACACTTCTCCTCTCGGTTTGGGCAAAGCAAGTGAATAAAATGCGTAATCATTAATTTCTTTAGGCACGTGAGACAAATATCTCTTATACAGCTCGACTGGGCAATGTTCTGCATAATTTATATTTTTTATATGCATATATATATAAATATATAAATATTTCGAGCCAAGTGCCCCCAACCACTCGGCCACATAACCTCCAATAATAGAAAGGGATATACTCTTCATGTTATAACTAATTCATCGACCATTTAGATTGCAATCGTGCTCTTGGTATGGAGAATGGTGAAATAACTGACGCACAGATCAGTGCCTCTTCGGAATACGATATTGATCATGCCTCCGTACAAGGCAGATTGAACTTCATGGGAAATCACATCAAGCAAGGGGCTTGGGTCGCTTCCCCTAACGATGTCTATCCTTGGCTACAGATTGATCTGTTGAAGCACAACACCCGAATAACACGGGTGGCAACTCAAGGAAGACATAACCACAATCAATGGGTAACAAAATATTCGCTGCTGTACGCCGATAATGACACTAGTATCTTCCAATACTACAAAGGACAAGAGCAACAAAATGCAACTAAGGTGGGTTCGTGTTCTCGCGTAAAGATTAGCTGTAACTAAGAACGCTGACTATACGTCAGCGTCATTGACAGGATGGGGCAAACCCGCTGGGTGAATTTGATTTAGGCCCAGCTTTTGATCAAGTTCCCGACCTTGAAGCCGAGAGAATACATTAAAAGATTAAAAAAAAACAAATTCTATCAAACGGCATGGTTGTAGGAGCCAACCATGCGGTGACAACCGAAATAGACATAGGAAAAATAACATGTTATATTTTGCTTACTTAGGAATTTGCTGGAAACACTGATAGTCACACTATTGTATCACATGACCTCATTCCACCAATCACGACGCGATATATCCGTTTTCAAATCATCACCTGGTACGCGCATGCATCAATGAGAGTGGAAGTGTACGGTTGTCATGGTAATATAATTTTTATATTTATTTTTTTTAAGCAAAAGAGATCGACAGTTTATAATCTCTTGTCTCAAGTCATTTCATATCCGTCAAAATTGGTTTTCAGTTTCATAGTCTGCTTTTAATTCACCAGAGGCTCTACTCCGCTGAGTTGAGAAGTCCTATCAATTAATTCAAATTAGTTAAGAAGATATAATGTTGGACATATAAAAACACTAGATAAGCGTAAAGGCTTGACAGTCATACCACTATATCAGTCTAAAGGCTTGACAGTCATACCACTATATCAGTCTAAAGGCTTGACAGTAATAAAATTGAGGTTGGGCCTTTGAACTTTTCTAAGAACAAATAATAAGAAGTATGTAGCTCGTGAGCAAGTTCTCATTATTAGCGCTGCAAGCGAAGACAAGCGTTTTTCCACCCCCGAGAAGATTGGGGACAAATCGGGAAGACGTTTGCCGGGGCCCTGGCAGAAATAATCATCACCAGGATTGGACCCCCTGCGAACGTCTAAACGACTCGCGTTGCCTAAGGCTCTTGCCGATCGGTTATAATCAGGCTAAGGAATATCTTGACTGTCTTTCGTTTTAACATGACTTTGAAAAGTCGTAATTTCCTCAGCAGGACACAAAAAGAACTTTAAAACTAGGAGGCAGTACATGGCGAAAAATTCGACGAGAAAACGAATCGTTTGCAAGTCGGCTTGTTGCGACAAAATATAAAAATTTCATATGAAAAAATGATAGAAAAGGAACGAAATTGAGTTGCAAATTACCTTTGCCCAGCAACGAATGTAATGGAATTGTCTACTTTATAGGGAATCTTAAGAAGATGCTCCATTTTAGTTCAAAACTAACAAGAAAACTTTGACTGCTCTGAATCTGACGTTCGCACTACGCTTTGCCCGCACAAGTGCACGTGGTTTTGGAAATTCGGGAAAGTACCCAAGTGTCTCTTGTGGCTTACCGTTAGCTGCATAAGAATTAAGAGAGTGATTACCCCTTGAAGCAATTTTAAAGTGGTTGACTTGAGAACTCCTAAATCATGTCTTTTTTTTTTTTCTAAACAGAGAACTAAAGATGAGGTGCACTTTAAGAAGATTGAACTGCTCAGAGCGTGTGATTTTCTGAAGTTTAGACAAAGGCGAGGTCCTGCAACCTGTAACCCCCACCATTTGAGAGATTTTTTTTTCAGTCAACAACAAACCTTGTAATTAAGGTGATAAAACCGAGTATATCTTAAAACAAATAAGAATACCATTACGGAGATTTGTATGGGTAAGTGTATATGCTACATCACAAGTTATCGAAAACTGAACATTTAAATACACATGGAGTATATCTTGAAATGAATTTGAATAGTGGTACAGAACTTTTTATGGGAAGGGTATGTACTATATTACAAGTCAAAGGAGATATTTAATTATCAACAATTCACATGTAAACCAGGTTATGTTTGGGATCATGTACGCTCTTGTCACCGGACTATTTTTTTCTGTAAGAATAAAACTTATTACTTTTGGTGGCAACTTTTGAGATCAACAATTTCCTGTAAAATTTTCCGACGCTGAAGTTTTCGAAAGGTTAGATTGGGGGCCATGAGACTTATTTTTTCTAATAATGAATTTTTACGTTTAGGGCCATTTTGGCAATTGTGAATCATCTTCGTAAACGATCTTACACTACCATTTTTATTGCATGATTACTGCGCGGCTGAAGTTTCCTTTAGGTAGTAATGTACACATTCACTTTCTCACCACAAGGATTGCTTTTTCTTAAAAATATGATTAATTTATGACTTTGCTCCCGTTTTGAAGATTAGAAATTTTCCTAGTGGCGAAATGGCAACTCTGCCTTGTTCTGTGGTTTTTTACCCAATAGCTGGCAGTGAAATGGTTTCCCTGTGCTTTTAACATGAATTCTAGATTGATAGAAAAGGGGAGAGAGAGAAATAAGAGTAGGACCCTGTTTTTACTTCATCCGTAATAGATAATTTCTTAGTCGACTCGTCAATATTGTCTGTCATTCCTTAGTCTCGTTGCACTCCGTAAAAATATCCCATAACAAAGTTAATTAGGTTGTCCGTTCCAAAAAGAGTAATAATTTATGAGAAATTCCACCCTATCTCAGGAAATTGTCTTGTTAAACAAACGATTGTATTTTCATTGTTAATATTAATATTTTTGATCTCTTGTGGAGAAAGTTGATCAGTGGTTATAACTTGCAACACACTTAATGGCAAAAGAGGTTGAACAAGGGATTCCATGGGAACTAATTTGAGACAATTAAATACCCGGAGTTTGTTAAACTGTTGTTCAACCAGCTGATGACAATTTGAAATTATGAACTGTTATTAAGCTATCCTATTTGGAGGCTTTTTCGACGAGGAAGCTTTTGGCCGTTAGAGTACTTCGTCCGTCTACGTTTTTAAGTAAATTGCATGCAGAATTTGAAGAGCCCGTGTGAAAAAGGTATTAATAGTATCTATGTTACTTCAATGCTTTGTCTGTATTTTTAAACCATTGTTTCAGTGGTATTGATCTAAGTGAAATTCCGATTTTAAAATAGATAAATCGTCAAGTTGAAGTGAACCAAAAAACCAAAGTGGGTTTAAAAGAGAGGTTTACAGAAAAAATTGAAATAGAAAAGGTGAACAAAGAGGAAAAGATGGAGAATAAACTGAGGAAACGTACATTCCACTAACGTTTACGTTTTCTTTTCAAATGAATCGAAATCAGTGTCAAAGGTTTACTGAATTGAAACAATGGAAGGATGGAAATCACGGGTGCCGGATGATTACGGGATTATACACTATAGATCTTTATCAGCTTGTATGGTAAGGTTTTTAAAAATGATGAAGCTTTAAATAGATTCAAAGAAGATAAAAAAATTTCCTTCTAACAATTTGTAAATAAGACAGATTGTTTTATCTTCGTTACTAGGTTAAATAGATTTTTCGTCAATTGTAATACGAGTCTGTAGTGATGAGGTTTAAGAACAGTGTACGGGTGTGTTTTCCTAACTGTTGGCGCTAATTGGATTGCACCTGTCGCACTCCTTTTATCAAGCACATTAATGTCAAAAATAAATTAAATATGCTTTGAAAACATTTATCCTTCGTTTAAGAAAGGTGTTCACCGGAGACCTAGCAATAAAGATATCAAAGCAGGATTCTTACGACTTTGCAATGTAAGTAAACTATGACTTTGGTTAGCTTTGGGCTCGTTAAGCTATTATCCTCTTTTTTGTCTCAATACCTTTGTCTATCGTTTCATCCTGAATAATTCTAAATAATGTAAGAATCGAGTTTGACTTAACTGCGATATAAGTTAGTAAAATTTTGGTTGATTAAGAATTGGTGTCTTTTATGCCAACTATCGACAACTTAGAAATAATTTTCATTCAGCTACGCTGAAATCCAGTACACGAATTAACAAAATTCTCAAAAAGTAGTTGAGTTAAAAAATCTGCACTAGATGTGGAAATCAGACAGAAAAAACGAACGTAAACAACTCACCAAACGCCTTAGGCATCAAATATTATTTATCTCGTGCCATTATAATGAAAAACCATATAAATAAAGTTGGGAAGGTTTTTCTGATATGGTTTCTGATACGTGTAGACATGGTTTCTGATACGTGTAGATAGTGCTATCTTTTTAAGGATTCTTTACAACTTTACCACTTGAAAGTGTGTTAAAATTTTAAGGCGAAGATATAACGTGATTACTCCGTAGAGTCAATGGTTAACAAAGGGGAGGAAAATTTCCTGTTGTGCTAAGCGTTTGAAATGATACTCCTGAAAAGAAGAGTAATGTTAATGTGCATTTCAGTTGAATGTGGTGCAACTAAAACCAAAGTCATCAAAAGCAAAAACAAAAAAAAAAGGACTTGAAATGTCAAAAGCTATTGGGGAGCTAATGAAAACTAGCTACCTGAAGTGTGGGAAGAGTGAGGGATCAAGTCGTGATGTTAATTTAGTTTTTCAATCTGATTGGTTGAGTGACGCGACCTGTTTGAACCAATCACACAGCGAAGTAATTTATCAAACCCAAACTGTTCCCGGGTTACACCTATTTCTGATTTCGTACACGGATGCTCTAAGACTAAACCTAAACTACAGCTCTTTTTCTTCTTTTAATTCCCTAACATTCTTTTTCCCTATCCACTCCAAAATTTTTATGCTTTTTCTCGGGAATGGCCCGATAAATTTGAATCAAAATCCCAATTTATACGTAAAAATCAGCAAAGTCGTCCTCATATTATTAGCTATTAAATTTCCATCTCAACAGGGAATCCTTTGAAGCCTGTTTTCATAAATCCGTCAGGCCGCTGCTGATAGTGTCTGCGTTTATGATTGTCTTCACCACTGGTCTGTGTCGTATTGGGGGTTTTATCGGATGTTCCTTCATCATGGAAAGGAACATGGTAGACGACTACTGCCTGGTTGGACACGTCTTCGCTAATTTTTCAGCCACAGGAGTGACGGAATGCTATAAAACATGCCAAACAAACTGTCGGTGTATTTCGTTCAACTTCCTAAAAAGTATCAACCAGAGCAATTGCCAACTGAATGAAGAAAACAGACATACAAAGCCCGGTGCATTAAAGCCAATGAATGGATCTCAGTATTACGATCTTGTCACTGACTACAAAGTTACGGTGAGACATTGTCTATGATTTTTTAAGCAACCAGTAATTATTTATCACGGGGGGGGGGGGGTAGGGTAGAGGAAGAGGGTGTGTCACGATAAACTTTACCAGATCCCCGTTTTATACGCTATTTGCAACGAATGATCACACCTCCATTTCTCCTGAAACCATGCGATCCCCACAAAATCTTCCGTCTCCACTCCCCCCTCACGCCTTTTCTTTTTTTGCCTGGATTACATGGATCTCTGGATCCCTGGATGATTCATTGATTCATTATTCAGTCCAGGCCTTAGACAGTTTTGTGTACACCATTTCCTGTGATACGATTGGTGTGGACAAAACCAGAACAAACTAATGTCGAAGCCAAGCTTTTTCTGTGCTTTATCAAGTGAACTGGATCCCAAGGGCCATAACTATCAGATACAAAAATACGGAACTAAAATGTGGGCCATTTGGATCGTAACACCAAGTTTCATGACGTCATGGTACAGAAAAAAACTGTATATGACCCGGAATGACAGAATTACTGGATTTTTTTGCTTTTAACACGTGTAGATACTCTTTTAAAAGCTTAGATGTCATGTATTTTGTAAAGTTTTGGACATCAAATCGCAAGTATAATGTTCTTACTTTGTACACGGAATCATGAGGGCATCAAATAAATGCAAGAAAAGCACAATTATATATACCCTCTCCTCTAGACGGCAGGTTCATCATGTCCTTGTACCCAGTGCTCTAATAATTGTTGCAGAGATCAGCCATGTCTTAATGGGGCAACATGCCTGGAAAACTGTGAGGCGACCGGGAAAAGATTTGTCTGCAACTGTGATCCAGAGTTCACAGGCCAGTTTTGTCAAACCGTTGGTTAGTTATCTCAGATTTTATAAATAGACTGTAAATTATCTCACAGAAGTGAATTTAATGTTAAAATTAAGCTGTAACTTGGTAATTTTCACACCTTTATTACTGTGAATGGGTGACTGAGACCTTGGGGTCTATTCACAGAGGGTTTAAACTCTATATAAGAGGATACTACTATAAAGCTTTGAATGGCAGTTTAGACTCCACTCTGCAGTAGTGGCTTGAGATCTCAGCTAAAAATCGACAAGAACGGCCTGATATCGCTACCAGAGAACAGAAATATCATAAACAACATTTCAAAAAAGGTTAAAGCTTATTTGCAAAACACAAACTAGTGATGCAGCATATATAACGCTACACCATATCACGGGAAGCCAAGCTAAAAAAGTAAATGCTATTCGATGCCTTATTCCAAACGTAGTTTTTGTCAAAGATTGGTGATCTCTAGACTTGTGGGATCATCAAAATCAGAACCAAAATAAACATTACTTATTGTCCATGCTTTTCCTTATAAACACAGCCAAGTATTGAGAACTCGCTCTCTTAGCTTTATCGTCTCTCGGTAATAAAATTAACAACGCGCTAAATAATTTGGTTGAGTGATTTAAAAATTCCCTTTCTCTCGAAAATGTTCACAATAAGTGTAGTCAGTTTAGAAATATGTTCACCACAGTAGTTATTGGAAAGATATAGAGCATACAAATGATTGTTGTCAAGTGACAATAGCGAAATGATCGTTGTCAAGTGCACGCGTCTCTATAACCATTTACCATTAGCATGACAACAAGAAAACAATGGTGTCAACTCAGTGAGCGGAATTTCAAAGACGCTCAGCTACGCTCAAAACATGTTATAGGCCGGTAACTTAACTTTTGACGATTAAGAGACAAAGACGAGAAAATAATTCACAACTTACCACAAAAGCGTTGCAAGTTATGAATACTCTAGTGGAACTAGACTGAAAGTGTTTCGTAACTAAATTCCCTAAGAACCCTGATACAATTTCTTAGATTGACTAATTATAATCTGCAACATGTTTGCGAAGAGTTAAAATCGATTAGTTTGAATTGGGGGAGTAACAGTAGTAATAGCGCAACAATTGTGTTTTTAAATAACACGAAAGACGCTTTTGTTTTCTTATACTTTTAAGACATTCAATAATTTTATCATGACAATTTAACCCTCCCAACAGTTTATTGATATTTCGAACATAATTGTAGTAGCGGCAGTTCTTCGCTGCAGGTAAGCTACTTTCCCCGCAGCGGTATGTGTATTGACCAGAGTGCTTTATTCATTGTCGCTTTATTATGACAAAAAGAGGACTTCCCCTAGACGAAGTCTTCTTCCATGGGAATGACAAATACACAGAAACAATTTAGCGGTGCCGTTGGATTGTTGTACACGGTTTTTGATAAGTGTTATTGAGACCTGCAAGGAAAAAACAATATCAGTCGCAGAAAAAGGGAGAATTGGGTTTAGGAACATGACATTATCGAAAGACGTTGGTCACCATCCCTTGATTTTTAAATGTGAGTGACTTAAAGCGATAATAATGGGTTAGTTTGGTTGTGTCTTAAGTAAATGTGTGTATTCTTTTCCAGTTGAACGTTGCCTCGTTGCCCTCGGTATGGAAACTAAACGAATCAGAGAAGGGCAAATCAGTGCCTCTTCAGAATACAGTGCTTCAAATATTGCTTCTTCCGGGAGACTACGGTTGCCAAGAACTTGGATATCTCAGGTCAATGACATCAATCAATGGCTTCAGATCGATCTGATGACTAATCTGTACGTTAGCGTGACACGTGTAGCAACGCAGGGAAGATATGATTGGGACGAGTGGGTGATTAAATATCATCTGCTGTACAGCAGTGATACAGTTAACTTTCAGTACTACAGAGACCAAGGACAAAGTGAAGACAAGGTACCAGAACCATATTGATGTTGATCTTTTCCATGACTCGTAATTGAAATTGACGTTCAAATCAGTTGATAGGTTCGTAAGGTGGATAAATCTATATATCCACTGAGTAAATCCCTCTCCGGTGGGTCTCACTGAAGGCTTTGCTAACACTTATCAGCTGGATAGCAATTTATCCGTTGGATAGCGTTATCTGTCCTTTAAACAACTGAGCTCTGTGTAATTATGTGAAGATTAGGGAAGAGTGAACGGAAAACAAAAGGCCTTTCTAAGATTTCCAAAAAGTTTAATTTTTTTCTTTTTGCCGGGGGGCAAAAGCGAATTCGAACCATGTACAAGGGAGAGAGGGTAACTCACCCATATCATAGTAGTCCAAACACACGGTGCGTGTCCAAGAGCTAAAGACCACCTGGTCCATTAGTTGAAAACAATACTGTATTCTTAGAATGCGCGCGCGCTTACCCGCCTGATTAGGCGATTTTTACGCGCAATGGAAAATGCGCCGTGCAATACTGAGGAATCACTTTAAGATAAGCATTTTTTTCTCCACACTTGCAAGATTTTTCCTCAATAGCGAATAGTGTCTCTTGTGCTTCTTTTACCCGTGGCGTGCTTACGTGGAAAATGAATAGAACACGTGTGAGCAAAATTTTCTTTTTCTAGATCAAGTTCCTTCTAAGATTACGGCAACAGATTTGAAATAAAAATATCTGAAAAAGAAATAACCTTGGAAGAAAACCTGGATGGGGAATCCATTATCTCAGATTTATGTTGTCTTGGCTTAGGGAATAAGGCCGTTAATAACAGTTTTATCCTTCCGATGTGTATAGGTTTTTTCTGGAAACTCCGATCGTCACAGTGTAGTGCAACATGACTTGAGCCCAGTCATTAAGCAACGTTACATCCGTTTTCGACCTCTGACTTGGAAGGGAAGGATTGCAATGAGGGTAGAGCTGTATGGCTGCCATGGTAAATATATTTTGTTTTGATCATATCCATAGCGAAAAATTTTGCCTTTTTTCTTGTAAAGCGCTGTGAGTTCCAGTGTATGAGTTCAAGTAACAATCGATCCTCGTCAACTTGAAGTAAAAAGCCTACTCCGTGATGGAACGGTTCCGGAAACGCGAAAGGAGGTCATTCTCTAAGAAGATCTCTTCTCTTTCCAGATGAATGTGTCACCTTTGTCATAATAGCAAGTCATAAATGAGCACTGAAGTTGTATCAAAGCATGCAATTCCTCTTTCTTCATGAACATCAAACGTTTCTCGATAGTTAAATTGTGTCTACATACTCTCATTTATGAAGCCCATCGACCAACGTAAGCGCTATTACTTTTAAAAATCAATACCGGAATCTGACTTATCTGACTTACTTCAATTTTCTTGACCATTCAGATTGTTTTGAAGCCCTCGGTATGGAAAGTAACGCAATTTCTGACGTTCAGATAACTGGTTCTACAGAAGTTAATAGTAATTACGCCCCTCCACTCGGCAGACTACATCTGCTGCCTGCAGTACGGGGATTATGTGGAGCTTGGGCCGCCGCCGGTGGTGATACCAACCCTTGGCTACAGATTGATCTGATTAAACAGAACACTAAAGTTAACGGTATAGCAACTCAAGGAAGGCATGACGTATCCCATTGGGTGACAAAGTATTCTTTGCTTTACAGTAACGATTCACTTTCCTGGCTCTACTACAAAGAACAAGGAGTGAAAAAGGTCGGGCCAGATTCGTCTGCTTATACGGACCTTTTGTAAGAAAGTTAATTGACAGCTATTCGTGGATGGTGAAGTAAATATTGTTAAATTTTCCCTGTGCCGAAGTTGAGGGAATTATTTAGCAATATCTACTGCATGAGCATGAGGCAAAAAGTTGTTTTAGGAAAATCTAAATTCATTTTATTTTTTCGCTTCCACTTGCCATGTATCAAAGAACAGATACATGGAGTCAGCGGTTAGATCACATAATCAATCTATAAATTACACATGACATAAGCGAAAAACTGATTGTGTTAACGTGCTTTTACGAAAAAAGGGAAGCTTAAGCAGGCTTAAAATATCTCAAAAGAGGCCAATTGCAGCCAATCAGATACAGAACGTTAAATACCTCTGCTATGATCGTCTCACATCATCTCACATGACCAATCAGAATGCACCATCTACATTATCACCAAAGCAACATGTCGTGCGTCATTACATTTGAAACCACACTTCAGGCTGTGGAAAGCTATCTACAAAATATTACTAAAAGATGATAAATAATATAAAAGAAGTACTTGTACAACAAGAAGGAAAAATATTTCTACGGATGAGGAAAGTTATAGTGAAAAGCAAATGCTACACTTTGAAATTTTATGGTGAGTATTTATCGATAAACAAAATGCGACTGACATCCTTAAAGAAAAAATTGAGGACAACTCAGCCAGAATCGAAGGTATTTAGGGAAGAATTAATTTCCGTGATTTTAGAGAGGATTCCATCAGCAATTAAATTCACCATTTTACTTTTTTTTTCCATTTTGCTCGCTCAGGATTTTACAGGGAACACTGACCGACTTACAGTGGTACCACATGACTTGAGCCCTCCAATCACCACGCGAGTGATTCGTTTTCAAGTTCTAACTTGGTACAGCTGGTATGCGATGAGGGTGGAACTGTATGGTTGCCATGGTAATGAGTTTCTTACTTACATTCATCCTGCACTTCTCCAGAATTCTTAGTTTATATCTTTGTTTCAGCTGAGAGTTACTTTTAAAGTTATGTTATTGACAATAATGCTTTTAACATAAAATTTTCTTTTCTTCGACCAGTGACTTGGGCAGGTTGTAAAGCAAAGGCAGAGAACTTGTACGGCTGTCAAAGTAAGTGTAAAACGATGATCATTTTTAAGAAGCCGATAGCCATTTTGTGCTGAAATTTTCCATTAGTGTACCAGCCGATCTATCTATATATACGACCGGGTAGAGATTTGAGTTTCAGCAAAAGAAACGAGGCAGGAAAAAATACTCACAAAAATTACCAAATACTAGTGTCAAGAATTAAATTAAGACTTTATTTAATAATTTCCTTTTCTGAGAAAATATCCTTCTAACTTGCTTAAAAATAAGTTTTATTACAAAGGCTTAACGCACCTAGCAATAAAGGGCTGATGTAGATTTACGTGGTTCTCTAAATTTATTCTGTACAACATAATATAAAATGCAAATAATCGGTTCAACAGTAACTTCAAATGCAATTTAATTCATCGTCTGTGGGATAAGACAGCGAAATAGCTTTGAGAAGATAATGGCAATTTGACACGCCATCTCGCATACTATGGCAATGGTGCAAGTGGGAAAAACTTAGGAAATTGTTACTTTTTTTCCAGAATTTTATTTGAAAACACTCTGTTTTAATGGTCAGTACGCACTGTTTTGGAAGTACTTTTAGGATCAAGAAGGATTTTTTTTTTATTATTATTATTACCCCACTTACACCAGCAAAACATACTTAGTTAACTGAATGAAAGTAAGGTCTCAATTAGTCACTAATTTGCATTTTCAATGTATCAAATTTGAAGTCGACAAACATCGATTTAAGAAGCTCCTATGGTGAAAAAAAAGTTATAAACCGCATCTAACAAAACAGCTTTAAAACATGTTTTAAGCTTTGGTGTTAATGAGGCATATGATTGATTTTAATTGCCAGTTTGGAGAAGGGTTTATTGAAAGTATGTATGTTCACTAAGAGGTAATAATCATTTCGCATCATATAGATTGCATGGAAGCCCTTGGCATGGAGAGCTATGCAATTACTGATTCGCAAATCGGTGCTTCTTCAGAGTACAATGGCATTTTCCCTGCAGTTCGAGGCAGACTTCATCTCAAGACCGTGCCAGGGTGGAGAGGTGACGCTTGGGCGGCTCATCCGGGAGATAGCACCCCATGGCTACAGATCGATCTGATTAAGCAGCGTATTAAAACTGTCAGGGTAGCGACACAAGGAAGACACGACTTACCCCAATGGGTGACAAAGTATTCCTTGTCGTACAGTAACGATACAAGTCATTTTTTGTTCTATAAAGAACAAGGACAAAGTGCAAACAAGGTGAGTGTCACCTAAATTGACCGTTTTTACGACATAAGCTGCAGTCTCTCGGGGCCTAATTCTCTCAGTTTCTCATACCAGTACTGACTTATCCTAGTTTTGTTTGATTCATTTTTACCACATCCTTATGCTTTGATGACCCAAACTTAAAAGGATACTCAAAATAGTTCCCTTTGCAATTTTTTCCCTCAAAAACTTTAACTCCTCTGTCAAAGTATTGTATAGCATCAGATCAGTTTGCCTAGCTTTATAGCATGACATGATTCCTTTTTTTTTTATGATCGCATGTCAGTTCGAGTCATCGGGAACATAAAAACATATTTGATTATCTATTACTTAATTAGGAATTCAGTGGAAACACAGACCAGCGCACTGTTGTTTCACATGACTTGAGCCCAACAATCACTGCACGTTACATCCGATTTCTGGTTCTCACTTGGAATGCCTGGCCATCAATGAGGGTGGAGCTGTACGGTTGCCATGGTAATGGAAAAAATTTTATTGCGATATTTTGTTTTAACACTTAATCATTTCAAAATCATTTGCAAAATTATTCTCTGAAACTGATTACCTTGCGTTGAACAAATCGAATTTGAGTCTTCCTCCACAAAACAGAGGATTAGGGCATGTTTTCCCAACCTGACATCTGTTGAGTTTGTTTTCAACAAACATAAGACGTAGAATAGTTAAAAGCATGTAATCTGGGGCTAGTGTTGGTGGTTGTTCAAATTTGACAGAAATCGGATCATGACCAAGCAAAAATATGGTCGACCAATCAACATCGCCGACGCTTACTAAATAATTATTTCGAGCCCTGTATCAGGAGAAGCTTCACGTTAATCACTTTTAGGAGTTGAAAGGTTTGTAGAATAGCAACAGTAACCCTCTATTTTTGGCTTTGATTAATTATGCACTTGATTAGATTGTCGTCGCGCTCTTGGAATGAAAAGTGGTGAAATTGCTAACGCACAAATTAGTGCCTCTTCGGAACTCAATCGTATTCACGCCGCCATTCTGGGAAGACTAGAGTCCAGGGTAGTTGGAGACAAGAGGGGTTCTTGGGTAGCCCCCCCGGAAGACCGTAACCCTTGGCTACAGATTGATCTGCTGAGGCAGGACACCAGGATAACACTGATAGCTACACAAGGAAGATATGACGCCGCTCAATGGATCACAAAGTACTCGCTGCTGTACAGCAATGACACAAGTGACTTTATATACTACAAGGAACAGGGGCAACAAAATGCAAATAAGGTGGGTTGGTCCGACAGAGAAACAACTGAGAATGTTGTAAAATATATAATGACGAATGTGTCCGAATACGCTGGGGCGTCTCCTTTACTCAATCTTTTCATGTGACCTGCACTGACAGCCCCGCGCATACTATTTCTGAACAGCATCATTAAACAATCCCCGTATTTGAGCCGTACAGCTGGTGTAAGTAGACCGGAAATAGTTGTTCAGCCCGATAGATACGAGTTAAAGTATAAGTAAAGAAGAGAGACAAGTAAGGCATGTCATATGATGATCAAATGATAATCGCCTGTCGCACAGGGCCGGACGTCGTTAAATCGAACCACACATTTCTATTTCTCTGGCCCTCAGGCTCCCCTACTCAGTCAATGAATACAATGCTCTTCAAAGTGTACCAGTTTTCCGTCCTGGGACCAAAAAATTGTTTCTTTTGCATTTTAGCAAGTACTAAATTAATGAAATAAACGGATTTTGAACGATTTCTTTATCTGTAATGTGTCGATAGTAATTGCACTTTACTAGTTATTTTCTGCAAGAACTAAAATCAGTATGTAACGAAATGTAAGAACGTTTATATATGTTGCAAGTAACGTATTGCTTTGTCAATAATTACGAAGTGAATATAAAATTTTCTTTATCTGATAATACAATTTATTTTCTGCAAGAACTAAAATCAGTATCCAACGAAATGTAAGAATGTTTATATGATGCAAATAACATATTGCGTTGTCAATAATTACGAAATGAATGTAAAATTGCCTTTATCTGATGAATATAAGTATCGGTTAGGATCAGGATAAACATGACAACAATCTCTTTTTTTATTTCAACCCTGAAGCAATTTGCAGGAAACACCGACAGTCACACGGTTGTATCACATTTCCTTGACCCACCTATCACGGCGCGTTATGTTCGTTTTCAAGCTCTCGCGTGGTACCAATGGGCAGCGATGAGGGTGGAAGTGTATGGTTGTCATGGTAATCTCATAAATTCCTAGCACGTATATCATATATTCTTGCTTTTTTTCCCGCCAAACTCTACTAAATTTCAATCAAAAGAGAAGAAATAGTCCAACTGCGGACGTAAGTCAATAGGAAATCCATTTAGAAATTAGAATACGAGCTCGACATTTCTACCGCACAATAGAAATCAAGAACAGATAATATGCCTTTAATTGTTTATCATAAATCTACTAGTCGTTAAGAACTGAAAAACAGGAGCTCTAGTTTTTTTATTTCAGTATATATATATATATATATATATATATATATATATATATATATATATATATATATATTTATATATATATATATTTATATATATATAGCTACAGACTCTTAGGGTACTTGCTCTACTCGCTATCAAGAGAAAATAATAGGATATTTTTTTCTCTTGATCATATGGATCACGAGATTTGCAGTCAATCAAATTGTAACATTTGTGGTAGAACTTTATAACTATTCATAGCATCTGAATCTGTTTGAAATACAAAATCAATTCATTTTTATCATTACCTTTAATTTCTTTGCAACATTTATGTGATACAAAGCTGTGTAAGGTTTCTTTTTCACGCGCGTGTCATGTTACAGGAAAGGAAGGAGTAGAATTCGAAGTTCAGCTAGCACAGGGAGTTTCAAATTTAAACAATTTGGATATTTTGATACGCAGCACCACTAAGAAACTAATTCAATTTATTTAACCAATGGACTCCCTGAAAGACCAATACCACCTCTGATCTAACCCAATGACGCCGTCTTTTTCCTTTTCAGATAATTAATGAAGAAGAGGATTTCAAAAGAATATGAACCTCACTAGACTATTAAATGATTTTGTGATAGTCTAGAATATCAAGCTTAGTCATTAATGATGTGTAAACCGTGACGAAACCACCTGAACGACTCGCGGCTATTGCGATATATAGTAACCACAGGGTCACCACACCAACATTCAACTCAACTAGTCAAACATAAGTTCTTAGCCACGAAAATTGTACAGCCAGTAGTAATGAATAATTATTGGTATATTAGTCAATGAAGGTCATCGTAATTGTACCACGAGACCTGATTTGGTCGAAAGACAGTTGGCCATGTCGAATTTCGATGTTGCGTCGACTTGTCCAGCATTCAGGTCAGTGAAGACAAATCAATTCACATGGTGCATTATCGGAGTTTTCTAAACGGCCATTTTCAACTTTTTAGTATGCATTGAATGAGATTTCTAAAACTGTTTCTAGTGCGTCGCCCTTTCCGACATACTTTTTGAATAATAAGAGTTTCAAAAGACGAAAGAGCTGTCTGCTGACTTTTCAGAATTTGCAGAAGACACAACTAACATCTTTAATGGAATAAAACTATCAGGCAAAAAAAAGGAATAAAGGAAAGAAAAATTTCAAGCACTCGGAAGCGTAGAAAGAGATTGCAAAGAACTGGCTTAAAGTACTTCTGTCAGAAGGAAAAGTTGACTAAATAGGCCAGTATTCTTTCGCATTAATTATCGCAAGGATGAAAAGGTTTCCTCTATACATACATCAACAATTTTTTTTTAATATTCTTATCTTCACATAATATCTGCATGAACAATTCCTGCTTAGCTGCCTATACTTTCTGTACGTTTTGCATTGCTAGTAGTGTAAGTTTGTATTATTAGTTTCACACTTCTATTACCCTGCTGATAGATGTTCCATTGTGTGGCTTAAAATTTTGTAAAAGCGACCATTTGTCAAGTGCGTTTTCCTGCTGTGAAATATATTCTACTAAGTTATTAAAAGACCTTGAATTTTCTCAAAGATAATCATCCGAAACGCCGCGGAGGACTATGCGAATGCGAACGCAAGGGGTTGTGGGACGGTAAGTGAAAAAGTCGCTCCCATGCGCCCGTCTCATGACTCGTCGATTTCTCAAGATTCCTCGCTTCCGTGATTCGTCAAAAAATCGATCAATAAAAATTTAAATAATGATTATCAAGTGCATTGTTGTGGTGTGTAGTATCGCTGAGTATTTTTACGAGTTGTGCAGTATTTTGTAAACAATCCTACGCTATCAGTTATATTGCATGATTATCATGTAAACTACGGTGTTATACAAGGATTTCCAGCCCTAAGAAAAGCCGTAACAACACGCTGAAAAAAATACGAATCTTTTTCACGGGGTTTTGATATCGCCAATCAGCTGCTGACACGTCATTCCTCTTTTGTACCACTTCATCTGGTTGATGAATAAACGGCAAAGCCTTCACCATTCCCAATCCAAGGTCGTTTGTCGAATTTTTTCGGTCTATGGCTGCTAAACACTAAAGAATCCGTATCGCTAACAGACACTGACGTTCAAACTTTTCAAGGAGGGGAAGAAAACCAAAATACGAAAAGAAAAAAACAAAAAAACCGAAACCTACATATTCAGTGTCGTTGGTAATGAAATTTCTTGCAGCTGAGAACGAAAATCGAGCGCTAACAGATTTGCCTTAGGCCGATTTTGGCCGTGTACCTGAAAGATTTCTTCTGTTGGTAAGGTCCAATTCAATTACTGACAAGTTTCTATATTGAAAACTAGGCCCATTGTTTGTCTTTGTAGTAATTCAACACATGTTTTCATCTGGAGAGCGCAAACAATTGTCGATCACTTTATTTCATTCATCAAGGAGGTCGACTTTTCTTGTCAGTGAGGGGCTATTGTGTTTATATGATAAACAAAATAATACATGGCTGCTTGCAGATATGAAATTTCTCTTCTCGTTTTCAAGTCGACATCTCACTCGTTCGCTGCACTCATTGTGCTATCGAGTTAAATACTCGAAGAGAAATTCTATATCTACGCGCGCTCATGTATTATTTCTCCATTTATTGTACAGCTAGAGTTTTCTTTAGGTAGTAATGTAAATATGAATTTTATCGCCACAAGGATTTCTTTTTTAATATAATTAATGACTTTGCTCCCGTTTTGAAGATTGGTAATTTTCCAAGGGGCGAAGTGGCAGTGCTTTCTTGTTCTGTGTGTGTTTTATAACCGACAGATGGCAGTAAAATGGTTTTCCTGTGCTCCTATAATCAATTTTAGACTGGGGAATTTTGTTCTAGCTGGAAGAGAAATGCTTATAATTATGAGGAAAGGGAGTAGGATCCTGTATTTACTTCATCCGTGGTAGATAATTTCGTAGTCGACTCATCAGTATCGTTTGCTATTCCTTCGTTTCGCTGCGCTCAGTGAAACATCCATAATAAAGTTACTAAATTTTTTCAGTAATTTTTGGAACAATTTTTTTAAAACAGTTTTTAAACAATTTTTAAAAAAACAGTTTTTAAATAATTTTTTAAATTAATATTTTTGAACAATTTTTTTGAACAATTCTTTTAAAACCGAACTAGTGAGCAGCAATGCGAACAGTAGTTGTAAAACTTCTTTATTCTCCGACGGATTTTGTCTAAAACAGTCGTAGACTCCTTCAGAGAGTCATACAAGTTAAAACTAAATGCCTGTATTTATAAGCCACAGCTAGCGGCTATACGGGGGCCAGAGCCCATAAAGGCTTGTCTGGACATACGAACCGAAACAGGCAAAGTTGTGAAAAATTTGAAAATTTTGTGGGCCAGGTGAGAAAAATAATTTGGGAGCCACGGTTTTAGCTAAAACTGTGGCCCCCAAAATATTTTTCTCACCTTGCCCACATAATAAGTGAAATGCTTATGATTATGAGAAAGGGGAGTATGACCCTGTATTTACTTCATCCATGATGGATAATTTCGTAGTCGACTTGTCAATATCGTTTGCTATTTCTACGCCTTGCTGAGTTCGGTGAAAACCTCAATAATAAAGTTAATCAGGTTGTCCGTTACAAAAGATTAAAAATTAATGAGACACTCTACTCTTTCTCGCAAAAATATATATTGTCAGGCAAACGGTTGTACTCAGGTATTATTTTTGATCTCCTGTGGAGAAACTTGATTAGTGGTAATGCAACACACTGAATGGCAAAATAGACTGAACAAGGGCTTCTGGGGATAATCCTTTGAGACAGTTAAATAGCCAGAGTGCGTTAGATTGTTGTTCGACTGGCTCATGACGATTTGGACTTATGAATTGTTATTCAGCTATCATCTTTGTGGACTTTTCGTCAAGTAAATTGCTCTTTCATCGAGTGTCCCGTGTTCCTTATGTTATTAGTATTGCCTATGTTATACGTATTTCTTGTTATTTCCAATCTTGTAATTAGTCGTTCCGTTCTTGATGTATTATGTTCGCAATACTTTACTTAGAAACCACTGGCAATGGCGTGTAAATAGAAGACTTCGACTATGTTATCAAGAATTAAACTCCCCTCAAATTTATTGCTGGTGCGTTGGTCACAAGCAGTATTTTTAATATTGCAGGCGCGAACGCTTTCGATTTTATTGTTTTATTGATTTATTTATTACAGTTACACACTTTACAGCACCAAAATTTAGGTACGTGAGACAAATATTTCTTATACAGCTCGACTGGGCAATGTTCCTATATTTTTATATGCATATATATATATATATAGTCAGCAACAAACCTTGTAATTAAGGTGATAAAACCGAGTATATCTTGAATTTTTCCTTAAATAAATGAATTTTTCTAAGGTTTTATTTTGCTCTATCTTACTACGAGGCCATTTTTTAAAAGGGTATGTGCCATATCACAAGTCAATGAATCATCAACTGTAAAACAATCTTACGCTTTTTTATTTATTTGCATGATTATTTTTGCAACGTCTGAGATCATGAAGTTTTTTTACCGATGCTGAGGTAGTAATGTAAAAATTCACTTTCTAAAAAAAGATTGTTTCTTTTTTTAATATGTTTAATTTATGACTTTGCTCCCGTTTTGAAGATTGGAAATTTTCCTAGTGGCGAAATGGCATCACTGCCTTGTTCTGTGTGTGTTTTTCCCCGATAGCTGGCAGTGAAATGGTTTCCCAGTGCTTTTAATATGAATTCTAGATTGATAGAAAAGGGGAGAGAGAAATAGTAGTAGGACCCTGTTTTTTTTTTTACTTCATCCGTTTTAGATAATTTCGTAGTCGACTCGTCAATATTGTTTGCCATTCCTTAGTCTATCTGCACTCAGTAAAAACATCCCATAACAAAATTAATCCGGTTGTCCGTTTCAAAAAGATTAACAATTTAAGAGAGATTCTACCTTATCTCGTGAAATTGTCTTGTCAAGCAATCGATTGTATTTAGGTAATATTTTTGATCTCCTGTGGAGAAAGTTGATTAGCGGCTATAACTTGCAACACACTTAATGGCAAAACAGGCTGAACAAGGGCTTCTGTGGGAACTAATTTGAGACAATTAAATACCTGTAGTGTGTTAGACTGTTGTTTGACCGGCTGATGACAATTTGGAATTATGAATTGTTATTAAGCTATCGTGTTGGGAGGTTTTTTGACGAGAAATCTTTTGGCTGTCAGAGTCCTTGGTCCGCCTACATTTTTAAGTACACTGCAAGCAGAATTTGAAGAGCCCGTGAGAAAAAGGTATAAATATTGTCCATGTTATTTCAATTTGTCTATTTTTTAACCATTGTTACAGTAGTATTGATCCAAGTGTAATTCCGATTTTAAAATGGATAGAGTAACGAAACTTCGTCAAGTTGAAGTGAACCAAAAAACCAAAGTGGGTTTAAAAGAGAGGTTTACAGAAAATATCGAAATAGAAAAGGTGGACAAAGAGGAAAAGGGGATGGGTGAAGATGGAGAAGATAAAAGAGGCGTCCTTAAACTGAGGAAACGTACAGTCCACTAACATTTACGTTTTTCTTTTAAAATGAATCGAAATCAATGTCAAAGGCTTACTAAATTAAACGATGGAGGGATGGAAATCACGGGCGACGAATGATTACGGGATAATACACTTTAGATCTTTATCAGATTGATAAAGTCTGTTTTATCTTTGTTTCCAGGTTAAATGAATTTTCATCGATTTTAAAACGGGTCTGCAGTGATTAGGTTTAAGGACAGCGTACTAGTGTGTTTTCCTTAATGTTGGGGCTAACTGGTTGGCGCCTGTCGCATTCTTTATCAAGCACATTTATGTCACAAATAAATTAAATATTCTTCGAAAACATTTATCCTTCGTTTAAGAAAGGCGTCCATCCGGAGATCTTGCGATAAAGATATCAAAGCGGGATTCTTACGACTTTGAAATGTAAGTAAACTATGATGACTTTGGCTATCTTTGGGCTCGTCGAGCAATAATCTTTTTTTTCTCAATTTCTTTGTGTATCGTTTTATCCTAAGTAATTCTAATCACTGTATCAATCGAGTTTGACTTAACTGCGATATAAGTTGGTAAAATTTTGGTTGATTAAGAATTGGTTTCTTTTAAGCCAACTATCGACTTCTTAGATACGTTTTCATTCAGCTACACTGAAATCCAGTACGCCAATTAACAAAATTCTCAAAAGGTAGTTGAGTAAAAAAATCTGCAGAAATCAGACAAGTGAAACGAACATAAACAACTCACCAAACACCTTGGGTATCAAATATTAATAATCTCATGCCATAATAATGAAAAACCATATAAATAAGGTTGGGAAGGTTTTTCTGATATGGTTTCTGATACGCGGAGATAGTGCTATCTTTTTTAGGATTCCTTACAACTTTACCACTTTAAAGGTTTACACCGTTTAATCTGATTGGTTAACAAAGGGGCGTTGTTACCTGTTTTGAACCAATCAATCACAGCGAAAGTAATTTATCAAACCCAAACTGTTCCCGGGTTACACCTATTTCTGATTTCGTACACGAATGCTCTAAGACTAAACCTAAACTACAGCTCTTTTTCTTCTTTTAATTCCCTAACATTATTTTTCTCTATCCACTCCAAAATTTTTATGCTTTTTCTCGGGAATGGCCCGATAAATTTGAATCAAAATCCCAATTTATACGTAAAAATCAGCAAAGTCGTCCTCATATTATTAGCTATTAAATTTCCATCTAAACAGGGAATCCTTTGAAGCCTGTTTTCATAAATCCGTCAGGCCGCTGCTGATAGTGTCTGCGTTTATGATTGTCTTCACCACTGGTCTGTGTCGTATTGGGGGTTTTATCGGATGTTCCTTCATCATGGAAAGGAACATGGTAGACGACTACTGCCTGGTTGGACACGTCTTCGCTAATTTTTCAGCGGCGGGGGTGACGGAATGCTATAAAACATGCCAAACAAACTGTCGGTGTATTTCGTTCAACTTCCTAAAAAGTATCAACCAGACCAATTGCCAACTGAATGAAGAAAACAGACATACAAAGCCCGGTGCATTAAAGCCAATGAGTGGATCTCAGTATTACGAACTTGTCACTAACTACAAAGTCACGGTGAGACACAAAATCTTCCGTCACCATTCCCTCTCCCCCCAACATCAAATCGTAAGTATAATGTTTTTACTTTGTAGACGGAGTCATGAGGGGAGCAAATAAATACAAGAAAACCACAATTATTTATATCGGAGCTCGCAGAGCGTAGCCCCATAATCATACAAAGTAGTAGGAACCCATCGAGCCGAAAAAGTTTGGATGTACGACTGTACGACCGTACAAGGTGCTACTTTTAACATGCGTGGTCAACTTTACCGGGGGCACGCCAGCGCCGAGGCTTTGATCAGTAGTCCAGTGGTCAGTGCACTGAGTTCCGAATTGCACGACCCGGGTTCTAGTCCTGGCCGGGGCAAGGCGTTGTGCCCTTGAGACGTGCGGGAAAGCTTTTAGGCTTGGCTAAATCTATTAGCTTTTAGGCTTGGCTAAATCTATATATTATCCTCTCCTCTAGACGGCAGGTTCATCGTGTCCTTGTACCCAGTGCTCTAATAATTGTTGCAGAGATCAGCCATGTCTTAATGGGGCAACATGCCTGGAAAACTGTGAGGCGACCGGGAAAAGATTTGTCTGCAACTGTGATCCAAAGTTCACAGGCCAGTTGTGTCAAACCGTTGGTTAGTTATCTCAGATTTTATATGTAGACTGTAAATTATCTCACAGAAATGAATTGACCAGTAAATATATTAATTATTGCTTTTCTGTGAATGATTGTTCTTAAAATTAAGCTTTTCACTCCTTTATTACTTTGAATGGGTCACTGAGACCTTGGGGTCTATTCACAGAGGGTTTAAACTCTCTATAAGAGGATACTATTATAAGCTTTGAAAGGCAGTTAAGACTCCGCTCTGCATTAGTGGGTTGAGATCTCAGCTAAAACCCGACAAGATGGCCTGATATCGCTGCAAGAGAACAAAAATATCACAAATAACGCTAAAAAAAAAGGTTAGAGTTTATTTGCAAAACGCAGACTAGTGATGTGGCATACATAACGCTACAACATATCACGAGAAGCCAACCTAAAAAAGTGAATGCTATTCGATGCCTTATTCCAAACGTAAGTCTCATTCCATGCGACTGTAGCCAAGAAACAGCCTCTTCACTGATGAATTCGCTGCTATAATTCATTATTGTGTCCGACGCACGTGGTCTAGGTTTGACTAAGGCGATCACAGGCGGCCCACGCTCACGTCTCGAGAAAAAGCCAACGATTAATTCGTTGTGTGACTCGGTGTTCAGTTATGAGAGGAACCGTTGAAAATTTGAACACGTTATAAGGAATAGTATGGAGAACGAAATATGGTCGAAAAAAGAAAATTATTTTTATATTCTTTTTTTTTCAAAAATTGCACCTCGTTGGGGCCAAATTGGTCAATCCTAATTGGCTCTTGGAAGGGCCAAATTGGGAAAAAGTTCCAAAGTAGAATTCATAGGGGCCAATTCAGTTTGGAAGGGTCGAAATGGTACCTGTCCCACCCGTTTTGGCTCAAATAGTCCAAAATTTGGCTTTTGGGGTCAATTTGGCTCTTTTCATTTTACAGTGTAATCTTTGTCCAAGATTGGTGATCTCTAGACTCGTGGGATCATCAAAATCAGAATCAAAACAAAAATTACTTCCTTCCATGCTTTTCCTTGTAAATACATGTAGGACCAGCCAAGTATTGAGAACTCGCTCTCTTAGCTTTATCGTCTCTTGGTAATAAAATTGGCAACGCGCTAAATAATTTTGTTAAGTTAATTAAAAATTCTCTTCCGAAAATATTCACAGTAAGTCAAGTCAGTTTTAGAAATATGTTCACCCCAGTAGTGATTGGAAAGATATAGAACATAAATGTGTATTGATCAGACTGCTTTATAACATAGCTAGTAAATTTGTCGAATCAAATTCAATTGCGCGAGCGTGCTTCATATTCCTATTGTGCACGGACATGACGTCAGCAAACAAATCCCTCGAGAACAAAAATTTCCATCGGGTTGAAAATGTTATAAAACAGTTAATTCATACGTCAGCTGTGCGTTCATCGAGACATGAAGCACTTGGGAAGTTTGGAGAGCACTCAAGAAGCTAGAGTTGCTCTCGGCTACGCCTCGAGCAACTCTTACGCATCTTTCGTGCTCTCCAAACTTCCCGCGTGCTTCATATCTCGATGAACGCACGCTGACGTATGAACTAATTGTCAATTAATCATTGTCGCTTTATTATGACAAAAAGAGGACTTCCCCTACACGAAGTCTTCTTCCATGGAAATGACAAATACACAGAGACAATTTAGCAGTGCCACTGGATTGTTGTACATGATTTTTAATAAATGCTATTGAGACCTGCAATGAGGAAACAATATCCATTGCAGAAAAAGGGAGCATTGGGTTTAGAAACATGACATTATCGAAAGACGTTGGTCACCATCCCTTGATTTTTAAATGTGACTGATTTAAAGCAATAATAATGGGTTAGTTTGGTTGTGTCTTGAGTAAATGTGTGTGTTCTTTTCCAGTTGAACGTTGCCTCGTTGCCCTCGGTATGGAAACTAAACGAATCAGAGAAGGGCAAATCAGTGCCTCTTCAGAATACAGTGCTTCACATATTGCTTCTTTTGGGAGACTACGGTTCTCAGGAACTTGGATATCTCAGGTCAATGACATCAATCAATGGCTTCAGATCGATCTGATGACTAATCTGTATGTTAGCGTGACACGTGTAGCAACACAAGGAAGATATGACTGGGAAGAGTGGGTGATTAAATATCATCTGCTGTACAGCAGTGATACCGTTAACTTTCAGTACTACAGAGACCGAGGAAAAAGTGAAGACAAGGTACTGGAACAAACTTAATGTTGATTATTTCCATGAGTCGTAATTGAAATTGGCGTTCAAATCAGTTGATAGTTTGGAATGGTGAATAAATCTATCCACTAAGTAAGGTGGATCTCACTGAAGGTTTTGCTAGCACTTATCAGCTGGATAGGGATTTATCTATTGGATAGCGTTATCTGTCCTTTGAACAGCTGGGCCCTGTGTAATTATGCAAAGATTAGGAGAGAGTGAAAGGAAACAGAAGGCTTCTCTGAGATTTCCAAAATTTTTAATTTTTTTTCTTTTTGCCGGGGAGTAGAAGGGAATTCGAGCCATGTACAAGGGAAAGAGGGTGACTCACCCACATCATAGCAGTCCAACCACCCTGTGCTCGTTCAAGAGCTGAAGACCATCATACCTATTTACCTGGTCCATTGATTGAGAAACAATACCGTGTTCTCGGAAAGCACGCGCGCTTACTCGCCTGATTAGGTGATTTTTACGCGCAGCAGAGGATGCGCCGTGCAATACTGAGGAATCACTTGAACCCAAGCATTTTATCTCCACACTTGTGAAGATTTTCCCATAATAGCGAATGGTGTCTCTTGTGTTTTTTTTTTTACCTGTGGCGTGCTTACGTGAAGAATGAACAGAACACGTGTGAGCAAAAATTTCTTTTTCTAGATCAAGGTCCTTCTAAGAATATGGCAACGGAATTGACAGAAATAAAAATATCTTGAAAAGAAATAACCTTGGAATAAAGCCTGTATGGGGAATCCATTATCTCAGATTTATGTCGTCTTGGTTTAGGGAATTGGGCCGTTAATAACAGTTTTATCCTCCCAATGTGTATAGGTTTTTTCTGGAAACTCCGATCGACACAGCGTAGTGCAACATGACTTGAACCCAGTCATTAAGCAACGTTACATCCGTTTTCGACCACTGACTTGGGAGGGAAGGATTGCAATGAGGGTAGAGCTCTATGGCTGCCGTGGTAAATATATCTTTTTTTAATCATATCCATAGCGAAAAAATATTGCCTTGCCTTGTAAAGCGCTGTGAGTTCCAGTGCATGAGTTCAAGTAACAATCCATCCTCGTCAACTTGAAGTAAAAAGCCTACTCCGTGATAGAACGGTTCCGGAAACGAGAAAGGAGGTCATTCCCTATAAAGATCTCTTCTCTATCCGAATGAATGTGTTACTTTGCCATTATAGCAAGTCATAAATGAGCACTGAAGTTGTATCAAAGCATGCAATTCCCCTTTCTTTATGAACATCAAAGGTTTCTCGACAGTTCAATTGTGTTTACATACTCTCATTTACGAAACCCATCGACCAATAAAAGCGCGAGTAGAATCACTATTACTTTCAAAAATCAATCTCGGAATCTGACTTACTTCCATTTTCTTGACCATTCAGACTGTTTTGAAGCCCTCGGTATGGAAAGTAACGCAATTTCTGACGTTCAGATAACTGGTTCTACAGAAGTTAATAGTAATTACGCTCCTCCACTCGGTAGACTACATCTGCTACCTGCAGTACACGGATTAAGTGGAGCTTGGGTCGCTGCCGATGGTGATACTAGCCCTTGGTTACAGATTGATCTCATTAAACAGAACAATAAAGTTACCGGTATAGCAACTCAAGGAAGGCATGACGTATCCCACTGGGTTACAAAGTATTCTCTACTTCACAGTAACGATTCACTTGCCTGGCTCTACTACAAAGAACAAGGAGTGAAAAAGGTCGGCCAGATTCGTCTGCTTATACGGACCTTAAGAAAGAAAGTTAATTAACAGCTATTCGTGGATGGTGTAGTAAATATTGTTAAATTTTCCCTGTGCCGAAGATGAGGGAATTATTCAACAATATCCACTGTATGAGCATGAGGCAAAAAATTGTCTAGGAAAATTTAAATTGATTTCATTTTTCGCTTCCACTTGCCATGCATCAAAAAAACAGATACACGGATTTAGTGCTTAGATCACATAATCAATCAATACACTACACATGACATAAGCGAAAAAGTGAATAAAACGACATAAAGAAGTCATGTTGTGACTATGTAAACGTGCGTTCGCAAAAAAAGAAAGGTTGAATAAATGCAAAGCGCGATTTCAAGGATGTACGATAACATCATAGCGAAGAGCATGTACGTCATTAGATTTAAAGCCATGCTTTAGGCTGTGAAAAAACTATCACCGACTAAAATTAGACAACAAAATGTAAGTAAAAGATGATAAATAATATAAAAGAAGTACTTGTACAACAAGAAGGAAAAAATATGTCTACGGATGAGGAAAGTTATAATGGAAAGCAAATGCTACACTTTGAAATTTTAGGGTGAGTTTTTATCGATAAACAAAATGCGACTGACGTCCTGAATAGAAAAAGTAGAAAACTCGGCCAGAATTAAATAAATTCAGGCAAGAATTAGTTTACGTGTTTTTAGAGAAAAAGGAGGATTCCATCGGCAATTAAATTCACCTCATTTGTTTTTCCCATTTTGCTCTTTCAGGATTTTACAGGTAACACAGATCAGCTTACAGTGGTACCACATGACTTAAACCCTCCAATCGTCACGCGAGTGATTCGTTTTCAAGTTCTAACTTGGCACAGCTGGTGTGCGATGAGAGTGGAACTGTATGGTTGCCATGGTAATGGTTTCTTATTTACATTCATCTTGTACTTCTTCAGAATTCTTAGTTTATGTTTTTGTTTTAGTTGAAAGTTACTTTTGATGTTGTGTTATTGCCAATAATGCTTTTACCATAACATTTTTTTCCTTCGACCAGTGACTTGGGCAGGTTGTAAGGCAAAAGCAGAGAACCTATACGGCTGTCTAAGTAAGTGGAAAACGATGACCATTTTTCAGAAACCTATCGCCATTTTGTACTGACATTTTCCATAACTGTATCGGCCGATCTACCTCTATATATGACCGTGTAGAGATTTGAGTTTCAGCGAAAGAAACGAGGCGGGAAAAAATATTCACACAAAAATTACCAAACATTAGTGTCAAGAATTAAATTAAGACTTTATTTAATCATTTCCTTTTCTCGGAAAAAATCCATCTAACTTGCTTAAAAATAAGGATTATTACAAAGGCTTAACGCACCCAGCAGTAAAAGGCCAAGGTAGACTTATTTGGTTCTTTAAATTTATTCTGTACAACATAAAGTAAAATGCAAATAATCAGTTCAACAGTAACTTCAAATGCAATTTACTTCATCGTCTGCGGGATAGGACAGCGAAATAGCTTTGGGAAGATATCGGCTATTTGACACGTCATCCCGCATACTATGGCAGAGGTGCAAGTAGGAAAAACTAAGGAAATTGTTACTGTTTTCTTTTATTCAGAATTTTCTTTAGCCCCCAAATTACAAATTCCATAAGATGTGTAACGCTCTCTTTTAATGGTCAGTACGGACTGTTTTGGAACTACTTTTGGGATCAAGGAGGATTTTTTTATTAATATTATTACCCCAACTACACTAGTAAAACATATTTAGTTACTCTGGGATTAACTGAATCAATTAGTCACTAACTTGCATTTTCAATGTATCAAATTTGAAGTCGACAAACATCGATTTAAGAAGCACCTATGGTGAAAAAAAAGTTATAAACTGCATCTAACAAAACAGCCTTAAAACATGTTTTAAGCTTTGGTGTTAATGAGGCATATGATTGTATTAATTGCCAGTTTGGAGAAGGGTTTATTGAAAGTATGTATGTTCACTGAGAGGTAATAATCATTTCGCATCATATAGATTGCATGGAAGCCCTTGGCATGGAGAGCTATGCAATTACTGATTCGCAAATCGGTGCTTCTTCAGAGTACAATGGCATTTACCCTGCAGTTCGAGGCAGACTTCATCTCAAGACCGTGCCAGGGTGGAGAGGTGACGCTTGGGTGGCTCATCCGGGAGATAGCACCCCATGGCTACAGATCGATCTGATTAAGCAGCGTATTAAAACTGTCAGGGTAGCGACACAAGGAAGACACTACTCACCCCAATGGGTGACAAAGTATTCCTTGTCGTACAGTAACGATACAAGTCATTTTTTGTTCTACAAAGAGCAAGGGCAAGGTGTAAACAAGGTGAGCGTCACCTAAATTGACCGTTTTTACGACATAAGCTACAGTCTCTCGGTGCCTAAATTCTCTCAGTTTCTCATACCAGTACTTAGTTATCCTGGTTTTGTTTGATTCATTTTTACCAAATTCTTATGCTTTGATGACCCAAACTTAAAAGGATACTCAAAAAAGTTCCCTTTGCAACTTTTTTCCCTCAAAAACTTTAACTTCTCTGTCAAAGTATTGTATAGCATCAGATCAGTTTGCCTAGCTTTATAGCATAACAGGATTCCTTTTTTATATGATCGCATGTCAGTTCGAGTCACCGGGAACGTAAAGACATGTTGGACTATCTATTACTTAATTAGGAATTCAGTGGGAACACAGACCGGCGCACTGTTGTTTCACATGACTTGAGCCCAACAATCACTGCACGTTACATCCGATTTCTGGTGCTCGCTTGGAATGCCTGGCCATCAATGAGAGTGGAGCTGTACGGTTGCCATGGTAATGGAAAACACTTTAGTGCGATATCTTGTGTCAACACTAAATCATTTTCAAAATCATTCTCTGAAACTGATTATATACAACTTCGCAGTTGTACCTTGTGTTGAACACATCGAATTTGAGTCTTCCTCACAAAACAGAGGACTACGGCATGTTTTCCCAACCTGACATCTGTTGAGTTTGTTTTCAACAAACATAAGACGTAGGATAGTTAAAAGCATGTAATCTGGGGCTAGTGTTGATGGTTGTTCAAATTTGACAGAAATAAGGTCATGACCAAGCAAAAATATGTTCGACCAATCAGCATCGCCGACGCTTACTAAATAATTATTTCGAGCCCTGTATCAGGAGAAGCTTCACGTTAATCACTTTTAGAATAGCAACAGTAACCCTCTATTTTTGGCTTTGATTAATTATGCACTTGATTAGATTGTCGTCGCGCTCTTGGAATGAAAAGTGGTGAAATTGCTAACGCACAAATTAATGCCTCTTCGGAACTCGATCGTATTCACGCCGCCATTCTGGGAAGACTAGAGTCCAGGGTAGTTGGAGACAAGAAGGGTTCTTGGGTAGCCCCCCAAGAAGACCTTAACCCTTGGCTACAGATTGATCTGCTGAGGCAGGACACTAAGATAACACTGATAGCTACACAAGGAAGATATGACGCCGCTCAATGGATCACAAAGTACTCGCTGCTGTACAGCAATGACACAAGTGACTTTATATACTACAAGGAACAGGGGCAACAAAATGCAAATAAGGTGGGTTGGTCCGACGGAGAAACAACTGAGAATGTTGTAAAATATATAATGAAGAATGCGTCCAAATACACTGGGACGTCTCTTTTACTCAATCTTTTCATGTGACCTGCACTGACAGCCCTGCGCATAGTATTTCTGAGCAGCATCATTATACAATCCCGTATTTGAGCCGCACAGCTGGTTTAAGTAAGACCTACCGATAGATACGAGTTAAAATGTAAGTAGAGAAGGAACGGAAGTAAGGGATGTCATACGATGATGAAATGATAATCGCCTGTCGCACAGGGCCGGACGTCGTGAAATCGAACCACACATTTTTATTTCTATGGCCCTCAGGCTCCCCTACTCAGTCAATGAGTACAGTGCTCTTCAAAGTGTACCAGTTGTCCGTTCTAAGACAAAAAGTTTATTTCTATCGCAATTCAGCAACTACAAAATTAATGAGATAAACTTATTTTGAACGATTTCTTCATCTGTAATGTGTCGATAGTAATTGCACTATACGAGTTATTTTCTGCAAGAACTAAAATCAGTATGTAACGAAATGTGAGAACGTTTTTATGCTGCAAGTAACGTATTGCTTTGTCGATAAATACGAAGTGAATACAAAATTGTCTTTATATGACAATATAAATTATTTTCTGCAAGAACTAAAATCGGTATGTAACAAAATATAAGAACGTTATATGATGCACGTAACCAATTGCGTTCTCAATAGTTACGAAGTGAATGTAAAATTGTTTTTATCTGATAAACATAGGACTCGGCTAGGATCAGGATAAGCATGACAGCAGTCTCTCTTTTTTTATTTCAACCATGTAGGAATTTGCAGGAAACACCGACAGTCACACGGTTGTATCACATTTCCTTGACCCACCTGTCACGGCGCGTTATGTTCGTTTTCAAGCTCTCGCGCGGTACCGATGGGCAGCAATGAGGGTGGAGGTGTATGGTTGTCATGGTAATGTCATAAATTCCGCCAAACTCTATTTAATTTCAATCACAAGAGAAGAAATAGTCCAACTGGGGACATAAGTTGATAGGAAATCCATTTAACAATCAGAATATGAGCTCGACATTTCTACCGCACAATAGAAATCAAGAAAGGATAATCTGCATTGAATTGTTTATCATAAATCTACTAGTCGTTCAGAACTTGAAAACAGGGGCTCTAGTTTTTAATTTCATTTGATACATACATACATATATATATATATATATATATATATATATATATATATATATATATGAACACACTCTTTAGCTACTCACTCTAATCGTTATCAAGAAAAATTAATGGGACATTGTTCCTCTCGACAATATGGATCACGAGATTGGCAGTCAATCAAATTGTAACATTTGTGGTAGAACTTTATAACTATTCATGGTATCTTCATCTGTTTTGTGTAAATGTAAGATCTATTCACTTTTATTTTTACCTCTACTTTTTTTTGCAACATTTAAATAAGATACAGAGCTGTCTAAGGTTTTTCCAAGCGCTTATTATGTTACATGAAAGGAGGGGGTAGAATTCGAAGTTCAGCTAGCACAGGGAGTTTCAAATTTAAACAATTTAGATATTTCGATACGCAGGATCACTACATAACTAATTCCATTTAATTAACCAATGGACTCCCTGAAAGATCAATACCATCTCTGATCTACCCCAATGACGCTGTCTTTTTCCTCTACAGATAATTAAAGAAGAAGAGGATTTTAAAAAAATATGAACCTCACTGAACTATTTCATTAATTTTGTGATAGTCTTGAATATCAAGCGTAGTGATGTGTAAACCGTGAAGAAACTACCTCAACGACTCGCAGCTATTGCGATATATAGTGACCACAGGGTCATCACACCAACATTTAACTTAACTACTCAAACATAAGTTCTTAACCACGAACATTGTACAGCCAGTAGTAATGAATAATTATTGGTATATTAATCAATGAAAGACATCGTAATCGTACCACGAGACCTGATTTGGTCCAAAGACAGTCGGCCATGTCGAATTTCGATCTTGCATTGACTTGTCCAGCATTCAGGTCAGTGAAAACAAATCAATTCACGTTTTGCATTATCGCAGTTTTCTCATTGGCCTTTTTCAAGTTCTTAGTGTGCATTGAATGAGATTTCTAAAAATGCTTTTAGCATGTCGCCCCTTCCGACATACTTTCCTAATAATAGGAGTTTCACAAGATGAAAGAGCTGTCTGCTGACTTTTCAGAATTTGTAGAAGACACATTTTACATCTGTACTGGAATAAAACTTTCAGGCTGAAAAAAATTGTAATGATGGAAAGAGAAATTTTAACCTCTCGGAAGCGTAGAAATAGATTACAAAGAACTAGCCACAAGTACTTCTGTCAGAATGAAAAGTTGACTAAACAGGCCAGTTTTCTTTCGCATTATCGCAAGGATGAAACGATTTCTATACATACATCAAAAAGTGTTTTGGAATATTCTTATTATCACATAATATCTCCATGAACAACTCCAGCTTAGCTGCCTATACTTTCTGTACGTTTTTTGCATTGTTAGTAGTGTTAATTTGTATTATCAATTTTCACACTTCTGATAATAGGTGTTACATCGTGTGGCTTAACATTTTGTAAAGGCGACCATTTGTTTAGTGCGTTTTCCTGCTGCGAAATATATTCTACTAAGTCGTTAACAGACCTTGAATTTTCTCAACGATAATTATCCGAAGCACGAGAAAACTAAGGACCACAAAGGACCAAGCGAATGCGAACGCAAGGGGTTGTGGGGCGGGAAGTGAAAAAAATCGCTTTCGCACGCTCTTCCCATGATTCCTCGATTTCTCAAAATTCCTCGCTTCCGTAATGTGTCAAAAAATCGATCAATAATCAGCAAAATAATGGGTCCTTGCAGATTCTAATCTTAACTTTGGTGGAAGAGGGTTCTTTCACCGTCCATTGTGTCATGGCGAAATTTTTTGTTTCGCTATGTTTTTAGGAATACAAACCCTGTAATAATTACGGATTGTAATGTAATTGAGGGCAAAAAGAACACGTAGATTTATCTTTCAAGAGAAATATTTTCCTCTCCGTACACATCGCCGGCTATCAAGTGTATATTTGGCTCAATCACCGTTTGTATTGTTTGGCGACATGATGGAACTGGTTGGAGGTACGGTTGAACTTTTTATATCCCAGGACCAATTTGTAATTCTCTTCTCTGAGTGCCACTCGTTTTACTGATTCCTCGATAAAAGAATCGGGTGCGATGCTAAGTTTTCACCCTCTAACTGATAAGCTTGTCTGTTGTCATAGCCTGCTTGAATGATAAAGTATTTTGAAATCACAAGGAGAAGTAAGCGGTGACTGTCATTTCTGAGTGCTGAAAGATCAAGAAGCAATCATCTCTTCGTACTTATTTGCTTAGGGTTAGGGCTAAGGTTAGAAACTCTTTACGGTGGCCAATTTGCGTTATCAACTCAGTTGATAATACTAAACTACCCTTTTTTCAATTAATATGAAGATGGAACATTCATATACTGTGGTTTATTAAGTTACATAACTCCGATGTACTTTGTGTAACCCTGTTATGCTTCTCAGAGCGGCCAGTGTCCTGCAGAAGACTCTAACATCACATGATTAAATCTGTTCTTACTCCTGTAAAAATGTTGTTAAGAAAACAATTGGATTCAGATGTTTTCGCTTTTCATGTGGTGAGAACTAATTAGTGGTTAATGTTATTATGGTTATCTGGATGTAAAGCTGTAAACCAATTCTTTATTCTTTATTCTTTTCTGGGTTTTTTTCCCTGTACTTTTAGGTAAATATACCACATGAACAATTTGACTTGACTGGCATACAATAAAAATCAACTCTTCATCAATTAAAAACTTTTGCTTAGGGTTTTAACTGCCCCGATCAAAAAAATTTTCTCCATCCCGTCTCTGTAAAGTGAACCAACTTTTAACCCTTTTTGGAACCTCTTCTAATTAATCACACCTTAACCTCTGTATAAACATTTTCCATATTGCACATTTCCTTTAGCACTGACAATGATAACTTCTTTAACAACCACGAACTTCTTCAGTTGGCCATTGTTTCCTTTATCCTCGAGCACTTAATAAGGATGATTGATCTAGAGGTAATACTGTGACGATAAATTTCGTAGATAATCGAAGCCGATTTTTAAAGCACTTTAACACATTTTTGGTATACTAAAGTACTGCAGTAGATTCTGAAAATATTTATTTCATTCTGGCAGCGTGAACCACTGAATAACAATAGCAATTTCGTCCTCTCGTCCTAAAAAAAAAAGGCCACAAAACGTCCTTATGTTTAGAAATTAATCATTGGGTCGCAGTAAATCTGATAATGTATGACAACAGATGCTAGGGTAGGGGGGTTACTAAATGGAAACGTAGACTAGTATTTACAAAACTAGTATAATTATACAGTATCCAGTCATCGAAAACTCTCTCTTAAGCGACCATTGCACGAAATTTTCTCGATTTCTAGATTCTAGAGGTAAGAAATTTTAAAGTCTCTTTCTTTGTGTTTCCAACAGCGACCATACACAAGGTTGTACGAATCTCTTGCATCGCTGAGGTTTCACGGAGATCCGTTTTACAGAATGATGGAAATTGATATGAAAAATACCTTTCAAGTGAGAGCGGAAAATCCATGAATGAATTAAAAAAGTAGTGTACCGAACTACAGTTACTAATTCAGAAGACTCTGTTGTAAAGGGAGATAAGAAATATTATAATTAATGGATCCGAGCGGTTTGATTTTTTGCATTAATTTTTTGCTTATGCGACTTCTTGTTCGTGCACAGGGTAGGTTACCATAGGGTAGAATTGAATGTGTACACTCAATTGCAGAAGCGTTGGTACCTTAATTGTATGATCCATGAGCGATGTGACCCAACAGCGTTATGGAAAATGTGTGCACAGTTACGTAATCAGTGCTTTCCTTTTTCAATTATTTATGAAAAATCTTTTTTTTTCTTACGAAAATTCTTTCCTTTCAGGAAAGCTTGGTTGGCTTCCATCGTTTTTGTGGTTAACGCGTACATGAGTACCCATCAAGCCATTTGTCCTCGTCGTTCATTGCAAACGATTTTCACGTTTCAATGACTTTGCAATCGGGTGTGTGCAGTTATTACATGTATGAAATGTAAGTCACCCTTGTCTGTACGTTAAGTTAGAAATGTCAAACGCCAACTGTTAGCAAATGCCGCATTTTAATGATTTTGGCAATAACACCCTACTATCAGTAGTTTGAACAGACCAGATTTTCCCAATACTTAATTTTTTCTCTGTATTTCAAGGAATACCCATAAAATTATGTTAACTATATATGTCCCAAAAAATATACTTGTCAAACTAATTATAATATCAGGTTAACCAAAAAATAAGATTTGCTTCCAGATTTCTTCTGTGGGGAATTTTTTTTGACTTAGTTTAGACTTGAGTATTCCCTTGTTTCCCCAAAAACCAATCTACCCATGATTCCTCTGAGGCATTCTGTACCCAGTCCTCGGATTCATCATGTAATCTGGCACATGGAGATTTAATGATTGTTCTTCCCTTCTTGATGGGACTAAAATCACAAATAATCTCAATTTGCTTCTTAGGCCGGCAAACCCAAACCACAATTGCAGGAAAAGTATCACATGTCTCACTTTCATAAATAATGATGGGGTAATATCTTAAATCTTGATTTCAAATATGGTAAATATCATTTTATCTCGTGAAATATAAAACAAAGTTTCTTTTAGTAAACTGTTGGGGTTAGACACCATGAGCCTAAAAGAATTCTTAGAACATAACACAGTGTCATTAGTTATCTATTGACAAGTAATAATAATTTCATATCTACTCGTAAGTTATCCACTGACAAGTAATAATTTTCTCACATCGAAGTAAATTGCGTTCTGCAAATGTGTCCAAGACAACTGTACATATCTTATAAGAACCTTTGGTGTGTAGCAACGCTGAGTGTTTTGAACGAGTGTGTCGTATTTTGAGGAGCCGGCCTATCTAATACGTAATTTATCATCCAAATGCTTTATTTTGTGCGCATTTCTTATAAGGCGTATAAAAGCGAAGCAGATAAAGAAGCGTAACACGCGCAGCCGACCGGTAGAACAGGTGTTTTTACTGTCCAATATCGGGTGATTTTGCTCTCGACCCGCGCGTTACTTGTGCTCTGCTTAATGTAGTTGGACGATAAGATTTATTTAGTTCCTGCGTAATTTTCAACCTGACATATAAAAGTATACTCTATCGTCAGAGATTAAAGCAATTCCGTGATGCAGATGTAAAATACAATAAAATATGATAAGTCATTAAAAATTGGATCAATTAATTATGAAATTCAAGAGGTTTCATTGGCTTCACCATCATGGGCTATGAGCCATTATACCATGTGCGCATATGAAGACGAGTTAAACCCAAAGTGTTTTTGTACATAATAACATTCCGTTTGTTCTTACAAAATGAATTTGGGAAGATTTATCTATATTTTGGGGCATTTTAAATACCACCACTTGTGGGATATGAGATGAAAACAGCCAAATTATCCCTACGGGCCTTGTTGGCTATCTATCATCTCCTATTCAACAAACGCCCACGGAATAGTTGCTCATTAACCGGTGATTTTTTTATCTTCATACATGACAATATTTGCTTTAAAATTAATGAGATGTGGTTGTGCATGGAATTTTTTCTTTCACTCTTAGGTGGCTATTTAAATACGGAAACTATTTACAGGTTGAAATTATTTAAGATGTTGGAAGTGACATCTAAAATCACTTCATGAACCATTTTCACCCAAAAATAATATGTTGGAGCAAAGTCCCTCGTAATTTAATCAAGTTCTAGCATAGGCAGACCACACTATGTGTTTGTGGTTAATAATTGTTGACATGAGACGAACAAAATCTACGAGGGTTACAAATAAAGCTCTGAAAATTGCATATCTAAATTGCATCTCCGCCTGAATATCTCAATAAAGTTAAATGAAATGTTGATCGACGCATTTGTGATATTTTTTAGCCTTCATCAGACGTTTGAAGCGTCTTTTTACAATTATTAACCTCAAACCCATAGTGCGATCTGCCTGTGATTCTAGGTCTCAAAATTCAGGCCAACAAAAAGGGAACTATAAATTATGATTACATATGAAGCAAATTGTAATAATTATCACCAATTTGTTTCAAAATAAATATGTCATCGAATCGGCGTCTAGTGTACAATCTTTTACGCGTATCCATAACACATAATTTTGTGACCAGTCACCATTGTTCCCAATTAGCGACGCCACGAATTTCAACACCGGAACAGCTTTGCAATGGCTTTGATGCAGAAGCTGAACTTCACACGTACCAAACTATATGTCCTATACTTTATTACACTGAAGCCTTGTATAAGACGTGTAAGATGTGTGTCAAATTGAGAGAAAAGTTGCAGCACTGTTTCTAGCCATTAAGCAGTGGCAGTCTGCTTTTTTGCATCACTGCTGGCTGTTGTACCTTGAGTCGAGGGAGGCTCTTTTTCTCTGAATGTGATGTATGAATAGACCACACTTCCAAAAACACTGCGTGGAGAGTAGCAGACATTTGTTTTAAGTATATACTCTTGGAAATGTAGATTAAAAGTAATTAAATCATCTCTACCATATAGATGAATGTTGGTCGGTAAAAGAAGACAATCAATTATGTCTTCATGTTTTGTTATGTTGCTTTTGTTGTTGTTGTGGTTGTTGTTGTGGTTGTTGTTGTTGTTATTGTTTGTTCCAAACCTATGGGTTAAGTTATCTTTTTTATTATTTTTTTCTATTTTCCTGTATTCTTTTGTTTTTGTTTGTTTGTTTCTTTGATAACCCACAGTGTACTTCTCCTCTCTTTAACAAGGATAGTAATAAACTTGGAGAGTGTGCGTTCCTACAAAAGAATACTTTACTGACAGCTAATTTTCAACTAATCATATATATCTTTATTGAGTCACTTACAGCATTGAGATCAGCTAGAACATTTTCTGCATGACAATTCTGTCAGTTAATCAATTGACAGAAATGAAGCAAGCAATTTGCATTGTTGGTGTTACTGTGATTTAGTGTCATACGTCTACATGAAAACTTGCTAAAACCATTTTATCACTGGTAAATTTTTGCCCTCACCTTACATTGAGCCCCATAAAGTTTCGCACTGAAAAGACATAATCTCCTCCAAGGAACATACCCAAGTAAGTCACTAAAATATTCTGGAAAGAACAAAATATCCTCGTCATTAAATTGGATGCATTGACAACACAGACATAATAATCATACTATGTAATCTTGGAACTCATAACACATCACGAGATGCTGAACAACATTTCCAGTTACATTTCACACACACTCACACATAAATTACATGCAACCCTTAACCTCTACGGCACCAACAAGGACAAATTGTTTGACAATCAAGAGCTTAAAAGGTGATTTTAGATATATGAAATTCATATATTTGCACTGCGGTGAAGAAATGAAATTAAGAGATCCTCACAGCTAAGAACACTACTGAAACGAGTAGTTGAAAATAGGACCTGAAAAAAATTCAGGCTCGTATGGGATTTGAACCCATGACCTCTGTGATACCGGTGCAGTGCTCTACCAACTGAGCTCACAAGCCAACTAGGAGCTGGTCAATGTGTTGGGTCCAAATAAACCATCCAAGTGATGAAAGGTGAACTTGGATGTTTTATTTGGACCCAACACATTGACCAGCTCCCAGTTGACTTGTTAGCTCAGTTGGCAGAGTGCTGCACCGGTATCGCAGAGGTCAGGGGTCCAAATCCCATACGGGTCTGAATTTTTTTCAGGTCCTACTTTTAACTACTCGTTTCAGTAGTGTTCTTAGCTGCGAGGATCTCTTAATTTCGAAACAAGAGCTTGTTTAGTCAGCAATCGTTTCCTATATTCTCGTATCCTTAACGTTTGATTTGGGGGTGATACTGTAAGACATTCGATGTGTTATGCACCCCCACAGTTCTAAGGGTTAAAAGAGAATCAATTAAGTGTGTTTAAAACATCTATACTAGCAGATGTTTTATGGCAGTTTACCTTCAGACACCCAACAATTGTGGTAGTGAGGGCAGAATTTGCTTGAGTACACAGTACTATAGAATACATCAAGATAAACCTAGATTTGGATCAAGAACAGTTCAAGAGATGATTTCATGATGTTTGTACACACTCAAGACATGTTCATCTCAATTATTATCAATGATAACCAAGGTAATTAGGATATGGGAAAAGTAATCTTTTTCACAAAAAATCAAAAGGCATGATTGGCAAGATGTTATTTAGTAATTAATGGGCAGATAAATAATTGTAATAGATGGAAATTAATTTTTCTGATCCAAATGGAAGTCCAAACGATTAACCATTTGAAGACAGTTCATTATTTTCATTTGGAAGAAAAAAAATAAATAAAAAAATAAAAAAAGGGAAAATTTTAATCTCGTAGAAAGACCTGACTCAAACTTATTGTCAGAGGAAAATTGCTGGCTGAAGTAAAGAGAGTTGTGATCACAGAACATATCATTACACAAAATAGTTTACTTACCCCATAATACAAGAGGAAATGAAGTGTAAAAGAAATATTGGATCTTTCCAGTTATCAAATTGTAAAACCTAAAAATACCAGGCAGATAAAATTAATCAGGTCATAATACTGTCTACATCAATTATTTACTGATCATGTCAAGAAGCAGTTGCTGGCTCATAAGAACCTCCAAAGTAAGTACAAAGACTATGTGGGTAGATTAAGTTTATATAGACTTTTCATTACCATATAATTATGATACAGAGTATAACACAAATTACCTACGGTGTTAAGATTAGTTAACAGATGATAGTTACATATAGTGTCTGTTTGACATCAGTTATCTGGCAAACAGAAGTCTTATTAATTTGGTTTGTACAACTGTGATCTATTACTGCACAGACCCATGGCAACATGGAATATATTACTAAGCAGAGGCTCAGATGAATTTAATTTATGTTCTACTGAGGGTATCAAAGCAAACAGATCTCCTTGTGACTGAGTAATCATGTAATGGTTTATCTTACCTTATCAAATTCTCCAGTAAAGTAGGAAATAAGGAAAGCTGGAAACAGCATAAACATGGCATTGTAAAACAATAAACCATATTTTCCTAGTTCCTAGATGTACAAAAAAAGTTTCTTTCCATGAATGATACAGAAAAGCTGTTCAAATTGAAACTGACTAATCATGCAGTCATAAAACTCTAGTCCATGCTGTTCTCTGATGTACTGCTAGGCTGTAATTAGTTCACCTTTACAACTTTAATTGTATAGTATCAAGTAACTCAAGGTCAAGATGTTTGGTACTGGCTTATGCAGACTTTTCTTTTGCAGAGCTTACATGTAAATGCCAGAAGTGAAAACTTTTGCCTGAGTAGGAACTTGAACAACTTGCTCAGAAGACCCCAGATTTCTGAGACCAAGAGCCTTCAGGCACCCAGTGATTCATACAATATATATATATTGACATGTACAGTGTTTTCGCTATTTTTTAAAATTTTTTTGAGGGGAGGGGGGGACGTGGGAATTATTCTTATGGACCAGGGCAAAGAGAAGGTCTGCAGCTTTAGGCATTCATTACATCTCTCAGGTTTGAACTCCAGCCAGGGTTAATGATCTGTGAAACTGGGTAAGACTATTAAATATATTTTCTGGGCTTCCACCATACAGTGTAAATCAAAACTGGCCATACAAAAAAGCTAAATGATAAAGAAAGAGTAGAATTCTTGAAAAACTCTCCGACCAAGACATTCTCCACACTTATAAATTGATAGCGGCTACTACAATCATTCAAGAGCCAAGGTCTAAAATTTACATTTATTGTAGCAATTAACACATGTACATCACTTGCCTTTGACTCTAACTTTTTCTTGACAAAAACACCTGGTGTATGAGAATTAGAAGTAATTTCACTGATACTAAATTTATCTAAATATATGATCATAAATTTCAACCAATAATAATAGTTATGGGGATTTAGCTGTGGACATCTCATGAGGTGGCTCTTCATGTCCATTGTTTCCTAGCATAACTAAAATTTTGAAAGTTGGTTTTAGAGGAGGCAGGAAAACTTGAGGAGCCTGAGCAAAACCCTCAGAGAAGGGACAACAATTACAACAACAAACACAACCTAGATGTGATGCCAAGTGCAGGAATGTAACCCAGGCCCTAGCAGTAGGTGGTGTGTGCCGTTCTTGTACATGTAGCATAGAAAACCCCTTTAGCACATACAAAATATAGACAGTAACCGTACTCACCATTTGCTGCAGTGAGAACATCATTGATAAGTATATATATATAACCAGTGGCATCAAATGCAAGATCACCACTGAAACAAGAAAATATGTATTAAACATCAGGGCTTTGTGATCTTTTCAAGTACAGATTGTCAAATATTACATTACTTTCATATGCACTGTGGTCAACAGCCACACGTTGGCTTTCATCAACAGCTTCAGAAAGTAAATTTATACATGAAAATTGAATTGTCTTCCAATGTGTCAGTTACTTCCATGCATATAAATTATACAATTCTATATAAATGTGACATGATGAGAAAAATACAAAAACAAAAAAAAACAAAAAAAGGAGAGGAACACTCAGAGTACTGTACATCAGCAATCTGAATACCCAAGTGTTATCCAAAACTTCCCCATAATCATCACAAAAAAAACAGCATACACAAATAAAACACATTCCAAATTGCTATCTCATGGCCACTAGCTTGTATCAGTTGAAAAAAACATATGAACATGTGTTAACCATTTTTCTCATGTATTGACGCATATAGGAAAAAGGTTGATTACTGGTACATGTAACTGTGTGGAGTTCAATTTTCTTTTTTGTTATCATCTACAGGTACATATATGACGGAAGCATAGTTATGCTGTTACTAACATGAAAAGTCCAACATCTATTGTACTTTAACCATTCTTTCCATCTAAATTTTTATTTTATGAATCATAATTTTAGCAACACAAATTTTTCATTGATTACCTTGCTGCCATAAGGGCACCAAAAATCATAAGGAACACTGTAGCCTGCACTTGAAAGGTTGCCTTTGACCTAAAAATCATTACAGTCAGTTTAGGTCATATGTAAAAGAACTTTTATTTGGTGTTCAGTATCTAGACTACATACATGTATCTAATATGACTTTGAGACCAGTGCACAATGGAGTTCATGCAGAGGAAAAATACATGAAATCAGTCTCAGGTTTCATGGCAGTGTGCTGTGTTCTAAGGCGTGACACTTAACTTCTTACAGTGTCTCTCTCTCAGTCCCAGGCATGAATGGGTACCAGTCATTCTGTCAAAAAGGGCAGAATGGGAAAAGGAATATTCCTCACTACTTCATATCAAAGAAACTGGGGGAGGCTTCAGTCTGGCCCATAGGCAAGATCTCTTGTGCAACCATTTTTTTTATGTTCTTTCACTGTGAAGTGAGCCTGTATGTGTTACTCACCCTAACAGCCATGCCTCTCCTATCATAGTAAACAAAATGGAAAACCTTCGCAGGACAGTAAACATGGGAAGGCTGAAAAACAAACAAAATATAGCATAGTTATAATCTAAATGATAAAATTCCAATTTTATTAATTAACCTACATAGTAAGTTTAAGGAAAAGGAAAACAAAAGTATTAATTTAAATGATATTTTAACCCTTTCACAACCATACCATGATTTGAAAGCTAAAATTCCCTCAACTACATGTAATGGTTATATTACCTTTAGTTTATTTTTTAGGGGGGTGGGGAGGGTAGTCCTTACAAATTGGTGTTGCTCAGATAGAATATACCTTTAATTGATTCTTGTTGTTCTTTCTCCTCAACTGTTAGTAAGGACTGAGTTTTGATATATTCTGATAACATGTTCTCCTGAGAAAATTCACTCCTTCCTTGATTTCCTCAGTTAAGTGGGCTGCTGACAACCATGCCAGCACACATATAACACAAACTGTAAAAAACACTGGAACCACTTACTTGAGTCTCTTAGTGCTTCCTAATCCAAAAACAAGATTGCCAACATAAAGTAATGGGAGTGGCCAAACCTGAAAATATTGTGTAAATGGTAAAAAAAAAAAAAAGAAAAGAAAATAAATCCCCTATACATTGAAAATGACAATTTTAGACATTCTTGTATCTGATGTACAATAATTTAACCTCAAAATTATCCACATGAGGATTACCATGTGCGTGAGATGTATTGGTGTAATTCAATTTTGGAATTATTCCCAAACAAAGCAAAAGAAATTAATTCAAAATTCAAAATAATTCAAACTTCATGATTGAGACCAATTGACTCACCATTTACATTTTTTTAATCCTAACAAAATAATTTCTTATTATAAAGAAATTACACTGCCTTCAGTACAGCTCAGAGGTACTTGGCCCAAAACACATGTAAAAAAGCACGCACACACATGCAACTTTTCAAAACGCACTCAAAAAACTCATGCTAAAGAAATCTAGCTCATTAGTATTTTCAGGCAGTCTATTGTTTTACCCTTTGTTAAACTTTGAATGGTGTTTTAGATTATTTTATAAGTTAAACAAAGGAAGTATTCTGTTTTCAGTGAGATAATGTGGTTTTGTTCTTAAGTGTAGATCACAAAAAACAAATTTTGAAATTAATTTATATCAAAATTTATATAATAAGCTCAGTTATGCACGCGTTTTGATTGGTTCTCACTTATGATCTATTGGAGGACAGATGTATAGATGACGTCATTAAAACTTTTTTTAATTCTTTATTATATAAAACAAATAGATTCCAAGTTGCTGTGTGTCTGTTCAGTAATAGATCACAGAGGACGTCAAAATGTGGTAAGAACATCAGTGACACACTCGGCTGCGCCTCGTGAGCCACTTTTTTGTTCTTACCACATTTTGACGTCGTCTGTGATCTATTACTGAGCAGAAGCATGGCAACTTGGAATCTATTTGTTAATTCAATCGCTATTTTGTGAATGTCAACAAGTAAGTTAATCCATTACTTGGTCTCAATAAAAATTGACTGATGAGGTGAAAATATTCATTGAACATTATAACTACATACCTAAGTGACTGTACAACTTACTTTTTGAAAAGTTGACAATGAATAATCTGGAAATGAAACAACACCACCTAACTTCAGGCAATAAAGGACTACAACTGTGGCAAACATCTATTGATGAAAAATAAAAATAAAATTTATTTATATGGTTAGTGAAATTGTACCCTTATTCTTTTCTTGATTCATAATATCTACATTAGTGAAATTCCTAAGAAATAACAATGGTAGGTTCTTTTTTAAGTCTGACAGTAATACTTGTAAGTAAATAGCAGAAAGGCCTTTCTGAATGCTTCCAATGGCAATTAAACTTGCTTGTAAGATTTACCAACTCAGTATTTGCAGTTCAGATGCTCAACCACTGATCTTAGAAGAGCTCAATGTGGTGGTCAGGCTATCAATGGTAAATTTAACCCTTCAACTCCAAAGAGTGAGAAACATCTACATGTAACTTCTCCTTAGAACATCAGCCCCAAATCACACACAAAGAGGTCATGAGAGTACAGGTCATGATGATTACCAACTAAAAAAGCTTTCAACTGTTAAACTAATACTCCAGTACTTAAAAAAAATATGGAGAGAACAGTATGGAGAATTTGCATACTGATGTTAGGGCATAAAAGATCAAATCATGAATGGTTTGGTTCAATTTCATCACTCATTCATTTATTTGTTCTTGGTGGAGTTACAGGAAGGGGGAGGGAAGAGTTTGACCCTTTCAATAACAAGATTTCATCAGTAATTCTTGGAAGTGACTGCCACACAATTCCTAGAATTTAGTTCTGAGAATTTGTTATTGGATCAACTAATAATCCCCTAATAAAAAAAAAAATTAATTTCACGCCCTTATCAATATTTCTCTTTATTCTCATCACTTTTCTGCTTGATACTGTAGGGATATTGAAACGAGAAATTCTGTCTTGGTCACTCATGGGAGTTCAAGGGTTAAGAAAACAAGGCCACTAACATTTACATGTACAGGTAATTTGAAATAATACTTTAACCCCTGAGAGTGACTAGCATCTAATTTCTCCCCACAGTATCACCCAGAATCAAACATTAAGGTCATGAGAATAGGGGAAATGATCAACAACTAAAAAGGTTCTTGATTGTTAAAAAAATTCTCCTTTCAGCACCTAAAGAAATGTAATAAGATCAGTATGAAGAATATGCATACTGATGTATCAGTGTGAAGGGTTAAAGAATGAGGAATATATATCATAAAATGTACAGTTGCAGTAATATCATTAATCAATATGATTTAAATACAGAACAATAGATATTATTATATTTGCCTTATTTCCTAGTATGAAAAGAACATACGAAACACGTATGAAGAGTGGATAATTTTTTACAAAGCATGTTTTTATTGACAACTTATTCACAAGTTTCTTACGGACAGTTATGACGTCTTAAAATTTTTGAAATTTTCAAAAGAACTGTTTATGTCATTATAAATATTATTTTTTGGGGGAGGAATCGCAAAGCCGAATAATTCATGTTACGTGGCGCTGCTTGAAACACATAGCAAACAGTCTTACTCCGATAGGAGGTCTGTCTTGGGCATCTGAGTAAAAACTACTGTTCATGCAAACACGATTAAAAATTCAGAGTCAAAACAGCATCAGACCACTATGTCTCAAACAGTCTAGATGTATACATTGATAAGTTCTTAAAACGGTCGTGCCCCAAGAGAAAATGATTTATGGAACCGACAGCAACAACAAATCAGATTCTAACTAAACAAGAAACCAGATTCATGGCCTATTAGCGCCACGTACACGCGGCTACGTTACCTGTCCAATTCCGAGAAACTGGAACGATGGAAACCTATAAAATACAACAGGAAAATTTAGCCGTGCCGACATTTCGAAGCTTACATCTGAGCACTCATTCAGGAATAATCATTTTACATAAGAAATTAATAAACTTACTTGTAAGTTGTCAAAACAGTTTTGTTGATTACCACGATCAAAAAAGAGCAAACGCCATAAAACAGAGCAGTCGATATTCTAGTGAGAGCTGAAGCCCTTTTTCCCTCCGTCATAATGCTTCCTAAAGTAACTTCTCGACAAAATCTTTATATTGGTTGCTAACCTACGGATCGAAAATGTCCTCTCTTCATTTCTATAGTAAATATCGCAGAACAGTTTGAATGGTCGCGATCTGGAGCCCAGGGTCATTTGGCTCTTTGTCAGCGGTATGGTCGCCATAACATTATCGGACGATTGAAACCGCTGATGAACGAAACCTGTTTTTCGTGTTTAAGTCACGTGATTTGTATTCCAAGAGTTATCGACAGGGAACCAAACAAAGATGGCTACTGGTGCACGCTATCTACACTTTTTGCTTGCCTTTGTTTTGCTCTCGATCTTGCAGTGTAGTTTCGCTGATGAATCGTCGGGTATCTTAGATGAGTGCAAGGAAAGCTGTGAGCGGAGCTACCCGTTACATACATACCCAAAGGTAGTAAATCGTAATCTATAAATTATGAAGTTGTTTGCGTACATTTCTGAATTCTGTTGAGGATCTCGCCACTCCTTGCTGGTATACAAAGCATTCATGTAGCAGCTGGCGCTTCTTCGCCTCAATCTGGTTGAAATTAGGATTCTTATTTTTTTTTCTCTGTTATGTATTCAGGAAGAACCTTCGCTTGCTTGTAAGCAAGGTTGCCGGCTATCTGCTATAGCACAATTGAAGGCTGGATACTCAACCTCCGAAAATTTTACAGCAGTCTGCGTATCAGGTAAACTTGTAGTCCGTTATATAAGCCATGCTTTCAGTTTGGCTAGATCTTATTCTTCACTGAATTGAGAAGAAAAGACTAGTGTGTTAAACATGCATTGTAAGTTGTCTGTACAAGGTTGAAATACGGATTTTTATTTTCCAACCTCGTTTGTTTTCGATTCAACCGAAGATTTATTCAGGAAAAATTCGGGAGATTCTTTTAAGTCTGTCTTCGTTGCCTGGATACATATTATAGCTGAGGCAGCAGCATTTATTTGTTTGGTTATAAATCCTTTCATGGGTATTCGGTGGAAAGCTTTATAAAAATGATGGACAACCACACTTTCTCAAGTTAGGACAGGGGACAACTTTTCCTAGTTTTTCTATTGCATATGCCTTCAGCGCAATTTTACAAGCTAGTGCACGTTTGAGATGATCAAGCGGAGTATCAAAACCATTTGATAAAAGATGATGTGAAGTGTTATCATTTTTTAGAGCCTTTGATGTTTCCCGTAGCTTGCTCTATTTTGTGCACGAGAAGAATGACTTTTTTTCCTTTGTTTCTGATTCCTCGTTTAAGTCTACAAATAACTGAATATTAACTGTAATTTTTTTTCCGCTCTCTTTCGGCCTGATTTCATAAAAAAACTGAAGCCGGATGCATATTTCTGCCTCTTGGTTCTTTGGGGTTATGGAAATATTTACGATTCAACAAATATAAATTTGTCCATGTGCTATCAAATAACAACCCATATACAGTGTAGCTGTTTTTAGTTTTATGCAGGAAGTGTCAAATTTTTAGTTTGATCAAGGTGTTTTGCTTTCTGTTGGTCATTTTTGAAACCAGAGCATTTGTATCCCATCTTAGTTTTGAGACATTGCTTAAAAGGGTATCATTTGAGAAGACGTTACTTAACTTAAATAACACCTGCCAAAGGTGTTGCTGGTAACTACTTGCACATTCTCTTGTTGTAAACCTTTTAAGAAACCAGGGAAAAGTTTCATTAAAATATCATTAGATGAAAATGATGATTATGTTATTTTAGTGTCAAGCTTAAATCCCTTGTGCTATGTGAACAGATGTTGTAATACACAGTGCAGGCTCAGTGGTGTAACATGTTTAAATGATTTTTTTTCCAAAAAAATTACAACAAAATTTGGCACATTTACCCGCAAGTTGCAGCTGTGATTCCCCTTTTTGTTTGTTGGGTGTTTTCTGTTTTTCTCTTCATGATAAAATCGTAAAAAAATTTCTTTCCTCGAGAGTTACTCCTTAACTTCACAAGGCTATTTTTGTTTGGGAAAAAAAATTAAGTCAGAAGATGATGCAATATTGGAGATAACAGGTTCTTTGAATTAATGGTTAATAATTCAAGTGAACAAGAAAACTTTTTTAGAAGTTTGTATATATTTCAATGATTGTCTTACACCTTTCTTCATTTTGCAACTTAGTGCAAAGGTTGCCTATTTTCTTAACCCATTCACTGATACAACTGCTAATTGTAGAAGTAAACAGGATACTTCTTCACATGATAAATTTACCAATGGCAGGTGTGTCAATAGCAGCTGTGAAGTGGGTGGAGTTGTTGAAGATTTTTGTTTGTTTGAAGGAAACCTTAAGGAACTCTTTCATTCTTGGGAGTGACCAAAAATAAATTCATCCTTACAATGTTAATATATTTTCAAGTAAAAAAGTGACAAGAAGGAAGGCGAAATAAAAATCTGGGGATATTGTTTGATTTGACTATAAATTCTCAAAGAGTCTACATGTAGATCTTCAAAGTTTCCCAACAGAGCCCAGACATTCCAAGGAACATAAGGTTCTTCAAGCCTTCAAAACTACCCTCTTGTTGATCCTCTGGCTATTCTAAACTCTCTATTTGTAACTTATTTACTTAACCCTTAAACCTTTAAGAGTGATTAGCATCTAATTTCTCCTTACAATATAATCACTGAATCAAACATTAATGAGAATAAAGGAAATGATCACCAACCGAAGAAACTCTTGATTGTTAGACAAATTCTCCTTGTCAGCACCTTAGAACATTTGGGAGAATATGAATTCCGTTGTTAGGGTGTGAAGGATTAAACCATTGCTAATGGCCCAGCTTGCAGTAGGTAAAGTGTATCTTTGTACTTGTACAATGCAGCTCAGTGTTCAAGTATTTAGGGCAAAATGTTGATGTCATGGGCTTGTTTCGTTATGGAGACTTATTTTTTTTGTCCCCCTCTCATGAAGAAACTACATGTAACTACATTTTTCTTTATGTATTTTATGTTTAGGCTGTAGAGAAAGTTATGAAGAAAGTGAAAGCCTTTATGCCTGTGTTGTGGGATGTAAATCACAACCTCTCATCCCTTCCCCAGAGACATACCTTGAGGTAGGTTGTTTTTAAAACAAATCATAAAAATTATATAGAATATTTTATGCAATTTTCAACATGTAGTCACCATGGTTTACTTCAACCTCCCTTCAGAGTGCAAGTTATGAAAAGAAACCTCCATGTAGTTGCTTTATTTCAATCTCTTGAGATAGTACTTTGCCAAGATTGATGTCTGAGCATGGTTAAAATTTAAAATCTGTGGCCTTCTCTCAAACTCCTTTCTCCCCCCCCCTGTTTTCTTTTCTATTGACTTCTTTTTCAGGCACAGAAGACCAATGGATAAAATGGGTATATTTGCTAGAAACCCTTCAAGTAGAGTCTACTATATGTAAAAACTGTATTGTTTTACACTGATTTTGTACATCTTTTTAGATAACAATCATGCAAATAAATCAATCTGTTGTGTTTGTTTTGCATGTTGACATCTCTAAAGCTTGCTCCTTGTTTGTGGTCAGATCTTGTGCAACCAAAAACCTTATAGAGCCTCTTAAATGAGATACCAACTTATTAACTCTGCACACAGCAAGAGTCAAAGTTTATGCAAAGTACATAAATTTATTTCAGGAAAGAATGCCAGATCAGTGGAGTTTCAGGACTTACATGGTGTATGTATACCCAGTTTTGGACGTCAGCAAGTATTGCCGTGGGTTCATGAACAGAGTTGGATATTACTACAGGATGTCATCATCCTATTATTACAGCTATGGCGATAGCAATGGTATCAACATAATTGAAATCAATGAACCGCCACGGGAGTTTATCACAGTACAAAAGTTTGATGAAATAGATGTTATTGAGAATGATGATCCACAAGTAGCCAGATACAGTGGTGAGTTACATGCTAAACCTGATTGTGCAAAGAGTGCCATAGTAAATTACTTCATATACCATTATGCCTTAACCCTTTAACTCCCATAAGTGACCAGGACAGAATTTCTCCTTACAATATCAATACAATATCACACAGATAAGTGATGAGAATAAAGAAAAGTATCAATTTAGGGATGATAAGTTGATCCAATGCTAAATTCTCTGAACTAACATCATAAGAATTATATGGTTGACAGTCAGGAGAATTACAAAGTTGATCTGGAAGTTAAAGGGTTAAACTCTCAGAAGGGATCAATAAGAAACTTCTCCCTGTAATATCTTTACAGTGTCCAGTAATGCAAACAGGTCATGAGAATACTCAAATTTATCAGGTAGAAGTTATCTTGATCTAACACCAGATGCTCTAAACTAGGAAATGTCTCGCAGCTTGAGGATAATTATTAATCAAATCTTGGGAGTTAAAGGTTTTTTACAAATTTTAAAAGGAGATGTTTGCCTATATGTAATAGATTTGAAATAAATTTCCTACTTACTGAATTAAGACAATCCATTTAATAACCTTATATGTACCATATAACCATTCAAAGTGTCTTCAATTGTGCAAACAGCTTCAACATTTGAAACAACCTTTTCAAAAACTGCTTTGTAACATAGCCATGTACACAAACGCATCACACATGTACAGCTCACAATCAATTGTAGCACTGGTGTTAACTATTTGATTGATGAATGCCTTAATGTGTAGCTTCCAATTTTTTAAACAGTGCACAACGAAATAGGAGTTAGATTTTTTAATCTAAAATGGAAGCATCCATGTTGTCTTTTTAACAGATAATTATCTGATGTCAGAATTACATTTACATGTACATGTACAGGCTGTACATGTACCTATTGGATCTGTTGAATGGCTGAGATGAAGATTGTATAATTTCTGGAGCTTTAGAGACAGTTGTTGTCACCATTATCCTAGTTTTCACTGGTAGTGTAGAAACACTTGGCTTTTGAGTCAATTATAGTACTTACTCTATTTATTTTTTCAGATGACATTGATGATTCATACTCTAGCACTGTTGTTAATAGAGGACACCAGTGGCTTCAATGTGTTTCACAACGTTCAGGCCTTCCATTCTGGTTGTTATCGTCCACCCTTTTCCTGTCCATTTTCTTCTTGATATGGTTATGTTGCGCTACAGCGACTACTACTCCTAGAGAAAAGGGCAAGGTACAGTCTGCAGTGTTGTGTACTGTGTTGTCATAAAAAAAAAATTAATAATACATTGTAGTGTTAAACTTTGAACAAGAAACTGAAGTGATACAATCACTGTGAAGCATGAGGCCCTTCTTCTGAGCATTTTTCTTCTTTCCCGTGAGTGACCAAGACAGAAATTCTCCTTGCTATATCTATACAATATCATGCAGACAAGTGATGAGAATAAAAAGATATCAATTATGGGATTACTAATTGATCTAAAACCCAAATTCTCCAAACTTACATGATGAGAATCATTTGCCAGACAGTAAGGAGAATTACTAATGAGATCTTGAGAGTTAAAGAGTTGAGGGCAGGGCTATTGTTACCTACAGTAATATGGGATATTTTCTGCTCCTTTGCATAGAATTTGATTGGCTATTTTTGATAAAGAAGCAAATTGAATTAAAAGTGATGTCATTCAGGGAGTGTCACAGCTTAAGTTCTGTCAAATTAAATTGTTATGCTCTAGACGTACTATGATTAGTCAAGAGCCTTCAGTCAAAAGACAAAAGACAAAGTTGACACTATAAATGAAAAGTCTGCAGTGGATATTGCATTGATCATGCCAAGTTCAAAATCTTCCAATTTTTTAAGCCCCTCATCCTTGTAGTGTCATTAAACGTTTGTAGAAACTCAAAATGGCTGAATACTAGTAAAAAATGTAAATTTAAACAATTACTGAATATGGTTTTGCATGATATCATGCTTGACTTCATCCAGTAGTTGCTTGTTATTTTATGGGAAGGTAATCTTGAGGTAAATCTGAGCCTTCTTATTGGTTCTTTGGTACCTGATTCTCACAAAATAAACAAGTTCAGTCTGAGTGCTATATAATACACTACTCAATAAAATTGCTTGCTTGAGCTGTAGTGAGGAATACTGGGCCTAGTCCTTCACTGCTTTCAGTCTGTACTTGCACAAGCTTGGGCCAATATTCACCCGTACAGCCCTTTTGCTTGATTGTAAAAAGTTCTATTCATTTTACAATTAACATCAGTTTTACAACTCTCAATTTCCTTGTTAAGTGATCGTGCGGCTACAGTAGTTGTTTTAAAACAGGTCACAAAATTTTTTCATAATCATGATATGTTACTGATGTAAAACAAAATGGTCTACTTTGTTTAGGCATCTGTTGTCGGTGAGCTTATGTTGTTAGATGATGATAGTCTGTTGGAGAAAATGCCACTGGTTACAACTGATGAGAATGAGGAAGCAGGCCCACTTCCTGTCAAACTACACATTGATGCAACAGTGCTGTAATGGAAATTTGATCTGCAAGTCATATGGCTGTGATCCATGAAGTGGGAAATAGTTACTTAGTTTATGACTGAATGGGACTTCAGCTTCCCTACTCTCTCCATGTTGGTGCAGGCCTATACAGATTAAGCATGGCTACCATATAAATTTAATGACGTTGTTTACTTGCCTTAAGGAAAAAGTTTCATTGAATTAGTTAAACCTTATTCTTTTTACTCCTCTTCAGTCACAGCATATAAATTATAGTTCATCTTATCCTCTCTGGTATGAAATAATCTTTGTTTGTAAAAGGAATTACCTGTAATGATGAATCGCAATAGTGGTTTACTTCGAGAGGGACTTGTAAAAGACAATTTTTCCGGTTTGTTTGTTTTTCCTTTTTTTTTTCGCACACAGCTGATGCTCATGTGCTGTAACTGGAATACTTCTTAAAGGGTTTACTAACTACAATTATGAATGAGAAAAATTACTGAAGCTAATTAGAATTTTGCACAAGAAGATTGTTGGAAGATTAATGCTATCAATGTTTGGAAAGTAGTGACTGAGTAGTTATGGAATGAATCCTCTTTTATGCCTTGTAACTTATTTCTGTAAATAGAATCAACAACACAGCTTAACTATTGCATAGTAGGGAGAGAAGTTTGAGTAAATATTTTAACTGCACAGTTTTCGACTTAAATCACTGTATTTTGACCTAAAAGACATGCTCAGGATTATTCAGGATTATTAGAGGTTAGTGTTAGAAAGTTCCTCTCTTGCAAAATGTCACTTCAACATATAATCTCATTTTATGAAAGTTAAGGGGTGAAGTTACCCAACTTCTTTTCATTAATAATAATGTGTACTCTGTTGATCTAGATTTTCATTACTCTGAATGAAGATGTTTTTTTTCCTCTTTCTCTCTTTAATTTTCCCCTTTATTTTAATTTCGTTATGTAATTTATTAATAAAGTTTGCATTTAGGAGGGTAAGAGAGGGTTTTATAAATAATGAGCTTAATTTGCATGAGTTGAACTTTTGGAATGTAAAACAATTAGAGGTTCAAAACCAAACAAAAAAAAAACAACGTTGCTTAGTACGTAGATTATTGTTAAAATCTTGCATAACTCTACATGAATTTTGATGGTTCCGACCCATTATTTATCAGAGAATAAACACGCAGGTAGATGGTACATCAAAATTTGGGATTTTTATTGTCTCTCCTTTACCCAGTCACCAGGAGTTTTGAATTTTTTGTTGTTGTTGTTGGTAATAGTGTCGATCTTGTAACAGCATTGAAGAAACGCTCTTTTGTGGTTTACTTGGTTGTTAGTTGTTTGTCTTTCCCGCTCTCTGGTGTCAGAAGTGATAAGCAGTTCCGAGGCTCCCGTGACTCCTACCTTCTCCTTTCCTGTCGCCTGTTTCTATCGGGATGACGAGTGCTTTCTTTTCGTATTCTTTAGCCTTGTGATATTCCCCGAGGGAGTCGAACACATTTCCGAGGTTCCCGTTACTCGTACCTTCTCTTTTGTGTCGCCTATTTGTATCGCGAAGGCAAGTGCTTTCTCTTGATAATGTTTAGCCTTCTGACACTCGCCAAGAGAGTGGAACGCGGTTCCGAGGTTCCGGTTACTCATACCTTGTACTTTCTTATCGCCTAGTTGTCTCGCGATGGTTAGTGCTTTCTCTTGACATTCTTTAACCTTCTGATATTCGCTAAGGGATTAGATAACAGTTCCGAAGTTCTCGTTACTCATACCTTCTCCATTCCTGTCGCCAATTTCATTGCGATGACAAGTGTTTTCTCGTGATATCCTTTAGCCTTCTAAGGATATTCGCTAAGGAAGGGAGTAGAACACGGTTCCGAGGTCCCCGTTACTGGTACATTTTCCTTTCCTTTCGCCAATTTCTATAGCGAAGGCAAGTGCTTGCTTGTGATATTCTTTATTTTTCTGATATTCGGCAAGGGAGTTGAACACAGTTCCGGGGTTCCCGTAACTAGTTCTTCTTCCTTGTCGATCGCCAATTCCCATCGTGATGTCAAGTACTTCCTCGTGGTCCTCTTTTACCTATTACCTCTCACTGATTTTATTAAAAAATACAATTCCAAGTCTTCCATGAGCCACTGCTGCTTCTCTGCCATGGCCAGCCGTTTTCATGATTGCGATGGCGCTTTCAAAAAATTAGTATGCTCCACAAACCGACCGTCTGCTCGGTATTCGTCTCCCTCTTGTATGGTTAGTCAGTTCCAGCGTGGTGGAGCGTGTCAAGAAGTTAGGTTGCGAATCTTACCGCGTTTATGTCACTATAGATGGCGTAGAATGCATTGAATATATTCAACGCATTCTACGCCACCCATATTTCTTCAGAGATATTGAGAAAAATACTAGAGTTAACATTTTGGAGTAGAATTACATATTCATTACCAGTGGCGGATCTAGGGGAGGAGGGGCCGGGGTGCCCTCCCCTCTCCCCGCTCCTTATTTGGTCAAATTTAAAAAATCGCAGAGGAAAAGAAAGCCGGCAGGGCAAGCGACACAAAACCGGACCCTCTTAGCTTAAGGTTTGCATCCGCTCCTGACTACATAACCAAGTAGTTTGCAGGTCAAGATCAGTATTTAGAAAGAATGTGGCGACATCTAAACAGTATCCAGACTGTTTTTAAGGTTTCTACATGATTGTTCATGACCGCTGTCTCCTGTGTGTGAAGAAGGATGGTCGATTTCTGAGAAAGAAAATCAAACAACGAAAGATTGCGGAAGAAAATGACAACAAAATTAAAACCCAAAAAAAAAAAAAAATGGGATTTTCAGCAAAATATAATCCTCGTCAAATCGAACCATCTTGGGCAATTTGTGAATGAACAACACAAAACAAAGCAAAATAACTGTGCTCTAGATAAAAAGAAAACCTGAAATAGAACTACGCCGCTTTCCAGCTTCCAAATAATTTACATAAAATAACCTCATGTGAATTTCTGTGCTTCTTGCATCAAAATTTCCCGTTACTTCCGCTCATGATCTGATTCGTGTGATCTGACATCGTGTGACTGCTGTAACTCTCACTTTCTGTTCAACTGTTCCACTCATAACTTCTCCCTATAAAACCCATATATTATACAACCAACAGTTTTGGAGAATGAAGAAACTTATCAGCCGGAGGGTGTTATATTGATGTAACACTTCATTCTCTAAACTTATATTTACAGTGACATTTACGGCAATTGGAAAGGAGACTTGGTAATGAGATCTTGTCAGTTAAAGGCCCAATATTCAGTTAATAGTTTTATCCTGCAGACTATTATATGCAATATAACTTTACCAAAAATTTTGGATTGTTTAGGGCTTTAAATGGTTTTCTGTTGAATGTTTAGTTCAAAATATTTCAGTTTTGCAAGGCGGGAAAAGATTTTTTCTAAAATCACACTTTAATACTGCATTCCTTTTAAGTCAGAAAAGTGTCTTTTCTAGTATTCTGATCGAGTGGCTGTGGAAGCTAAGAGTAAGTAGCAGAAATAAAGCTTTCCCTGCAAAACAGAAACGAGTAACAATTTATAGTGTGGAAAAAGGTAAAACAAAAGATCGCTAAGAAAATCTTTAACGGAACTCCGTCTCTTTCCCGCTTCCGATGGTCTAAAAAGAACGTTTTTGTTCCTTTTACATCACAATTTCTCGTCCCCACATCTAATTCATGCAACGTGTGTTTGCTTTAACTCTTTCTCTATCAGACTGTTCAACGAATAACTTCACCCTACAGTACCAATATATTACCTAGCCAACAGTTTTGGAGAAACTTTTTTAAAGAAACTTGTCAGTTGAACACTTCATACTCCAAACTTATTTACAAAAGTGACATCTAGAGCCGAAAATTAGAAGGGAGACTTTGTGATTAAACTTGGAAGTTAAAGGCTTAATAGTGAGTTACTCGTTTTTTTTGCAGAATATTAAGTTTAAGTCTATTTCTCTGCGATCAGTCTTTACCAAAATCCAAGATTATTTCGGACATTTAAATCCTCTTGCTGTTGAATGTTCGTTCCGAAACACTTTAGTTTGTAAAGTGGGAAAAGATCGTTTATAAAATCCTACTTTTTTTTACTGCTTACCGTCTTAGTCAGAGAAGTGTCTTGTTAAGTATTCTTATCCTAATACTAATGAAACCAAAATTAAGAGACTGAAATGAAACTTTCTCTGCAAAATAAAATATATGACAGCTTGGTGGGGAAAAAACAATCAGTAAACCAAAAAGGGAACAAGGGATAGCAAGTGTGTCGAAGACTTTGTGATTCGTGCGCATGTCAGATGATGAGTGTGAACATTATGTCAAGAGCTAGATGCACCGCCTGTTGTGATTTTGGGACATTGATCGGTTTACATAGTCAACGCAACCTTGAATGACCTTTTAAATCAATACTTGGCAACAACCAATCACAATGTAGAGAATATCGTATAAGAGAGTGATTTCTTACTAATTTTGCAAAGTAGCTTTTTACACAGCCGTTGTACATAAGCGAATACGAGAGTGGAATAAAACGGTTTGATTGAGTCTAGTTCGTTAGAACTAGTAAACAGGGCAAAGTTTACGAAAAGTGAAACAGTAATTGTTGCTTCATAAAGTAAAGCATGTAGCTGAATTTATAAAAAAGAATCACCAGCTGATGTCTATTTAGATTATGTTACGAGGGGCGAATCTAACCCCACCCCTGAGGCGCCGAGAAAGAGTGAGTTCCCCCTTGAACGTCATGTCCTGTATTGACTGAACAGAAAGGCGGGGCCGGGAGGGGGTGAGGATTGGTAATTGGAAATCGACCTTCGATCTGGTCAGAGTGCACGATATGTACCTCTTGAAACCGTCATCTTCCTACAAGGGACTTCCCCGTAATAATTATTCATAATCAGCTTACGTTAAATTGGGCATCAACAGAGTTGCGTTACTTAAGGAAGTGCGTCACGTTCTATTGATTCCTCTTTTTCTGAGGTGCAGAATTTCTTTAAAGTGAAAATATTACTTTACAGAGTAGACGAACACTGCCTTTGCTTGAATATACCAGACGGAAACATGGATGGCTAAATCTAGGAGAGTTTGACTCGGATTGGGCAGGGCTTTCATATTTCAGACGCCGTAGCCGTAGCTTAGCAACATCAGTTAAAGTGCGATTGACCAATCGTTGACTCCACTCAGGTTTCCCTGAAAAATACTCATAATCTGCCCTGCTCTTGAAAGCGAAGAGATAGGCCTCAGATTAACTGAATGACATAAAAAGCGTATTACGATTTCTTTTTCACAACGTAAAATCATAGAGTCTTGTGTGATTATGGAAACTGAAAGCAAAACTCAAGATCATAATGGATGCCCTGACACATGCATAAAAAAAAGAATACTACATTGTTCATCAATATGACAAAGAAGAGGGGACCATACTTCAAGGGGCCCACAGTTGCCAAGACATTTCCTATTTCTTAACTGGTAAAATAACAACTTTTTCAGTAACTGAAGTCTAACCTGGGAGACTCCACTGGAACTTAGCGGGTGTAGGTTTTAGCATCTTTTTGGGTGCATGAGACTTTAGCATTTCAAATTTCGTACCTTAGTACTAAAATGTGATCATTGAAAAGATCTCTTTTTCAAAGGATGTACACCGTCAACGATGATAGCTTTACCAGCCTTGAATGAAGAGATTTTTTGTTTGTTTGTGTGTTTGGTTTATTCTTTTTTTTCAACGTGTCGGGCAATCGCTTGAAGGGAGGATATTGCGTAATGCGTCAAACGAAAACATATTCGTTGCGAAATGTGGCTTAGAAAGGTAACTAAAACCGTCGGAGAAACAAAAGGGGGGCGGGAAAAGGGACCACAGAATTATTTTGATCTTAAATAGAAGCTTATTGCCAGCATTTTAGTGATCGTTAATCAAATATGTCACCTTTACTGTTGCAATTGAATGTATCAAGTTGCAAATCTATAAATACTAGAAACACTCAACTAATGCACTTTTGGCACGTAAGAAACGCGACTTTCATTCCATGTAAACATCTACGACTACAAATAGGAAACGAAATCGGCTACGGCCAGCTAATACAGGCTTCTGATCAGTAATGATCTCAGTTTTTTTTTCGTGATCCTTCATTGTACGAAAATTGGCTCCAACGCATGTTGAAGAAGTTTCTTGTCATCAACGATAGATGATGACATTTAATGAGTTAATTAAGTGAAGTTATTGTTTTGGAGGCAAAAAGCATGAAATTGTAAAAAATGAAAAATAGTTCAAGAGTTTCAAGTGTCCTTTCGACCAAAAGTAAACAACATCTAGTCACGTCACACACTTTGGAAAAAAAAAGACGAAGATCCCACTCTGAGAATAAAAAAATAAGTTGCATGTGATAATTTTCCTTTTTTTCTGGTACTGGTAGTAGTCAATGTTAATCCTTTATTCCTTTATATCAGCATGCATATTCTCCTCATTATTCTCTTACATTTCCTTTGATACTGAAGAGGAGAATTTGTTTAACAGTAAACGGAGCACCTTCAGATATTGATCATCGCCTTTATTTCTACGACCTTATGTTTGATTCACCAGCAACATTGTGAGGAGACATGATGATGATGTGTCACAATAAAATAGACCTGATTCCCCTAAAGCTCTCTAGTATTATTATGAACCTCCTCACTCCCTTCATTTGCAATAAATTTTCTGAAGTTCCTCCTTTACACCCTGTTAGAGACGACAGATCCCTCTCTGATCTCTGATCGCCCTGAAAACCATGTGATGCCCCCCTAAAATCATCTGACGGAACTTATTCGATTCGCAAACGCAGACGGACTTAAACAAATCTAAATCGCTATTCCAATTTCAAATAAAACCTTTTTATTTTTTTATCAGTGGAGTACGTCAAAACACAATGTATACCTTTGTGCTAATCAGCGCCTGTATTCTATATTCATTCCTACTTAACCTCACAGCCATTTTAGACAGGAACAAGGCTGTAGAATAAACTTGTGGTACTCAGGCGTTAAGAAAAATCTTGATTCAGCGATTTTGTCGCAAAGTGTTTCGCAGTCCGTAGATTACAAGATACCAATAACGTAAGGAATGACAAGTAATCTGTCAGAGAGTCGGGACTTGCATACCTAATCACATCAACATCATACGCTAAAGCAAAATAACACAGTGCACAGGAACAGGCCAGTTTACGTTACTCTTGGCATCCGCAGATAAAAGATGGAATGTTCCGTTCCATTTTCTTATTAGTTTCTGTGA